TCGTGCCATATTCTTGTACTGAATGGATCATTAATCAAAAGTAGCCTGACCACAATAGTATACACGTGTTTAAGCAAAAGGCAGACTAGGCGCCTACATTTGGATACAGGAGACTGAGCACACTCCGTAAACTTTAAGCCCCGAGAATACACAATATCTAAATCTAAAGGGGAGTTATATAATTGCAGCACAGAATCGTCAAGGTGTAAACCGACGTTCGGGTAGGAATTATTAAAACAGAGAATCCAAGCGAACAAGTTAGTCTGGTCACCCTGGATTCCAATAAAACCCTCACTCAGCTGGCAGGAGAAGCTGCATACAGTTTTTAGGTTGTCTGCAAACGGGTAGGGCTTGCTAAATCTTGTTACATTAAAAATAACATTTATGCGAAGGAGGAAGAGGAAGGCCCCGACACAGTTCCTTGAACGGCACCACTCATGACAGGCTTTGAAGAGGAATTGGTGTGACTAAACTTTGTTATTTGAATACGCTGTCCAGGGAATGAGCCTATCCACGATAACAGCGGGTCACTAACTCTAAATGATTTGAACTTCAGAATTAAGTGATTATGAGGCGCTTTATCAAATGCTTTTTGGGAGTCAAACGGTAGAGAAGTTACGAAAGGACTTTCATCAAGTCTGCTGGTGACTTTTCCGAAGTAATCTAGTAACCAAGTACTACATGAACGGCCTTTTAAAAACCGTGCTGCACATGGAAAAGTAACTGGTCAGTGATCATATAATCGGTATTTTCTTGCATAACTACCTCTATAATTCAGGAGGCTGGAGGTAATAATGATAATAATATTTATTCCTGAATATACAGGCACGCACCATTTTTACAGGTATGAATAAGTTTATATGCAAATCACATTCATCTTCATGGAAGGTAATCTGAATCCCTACCCGCTGTCACTAGAAGATATGAGTGCTGTGTGTTCATGTAATGGAACATCCCGGCAGAATAAGTGTGCAGAAAATTTACAAGTTGGACAAGTGGAAGCGTTGTCTTCGCATTAACAAAAAAACAGGTTTGTATCTAGACACTACAGGTATTACATGGAGAAAATAAAGCTTTAAGCTAATACTTCCATTGTAACAGTTTGTACTTCTTGCTTGAGATAACGATTAAAAGTTTATGAATTGTCTACATATTGTACTTCATTGACGATCCCAGGACTATGTGATTCATGCATGTTAATACCATTCCACAACAAAGATTCATAATCTTGATGAATATTATGGAGCGACAGTTTTAAATATTTGACATTGGGTCACATTTATACGTGGGAAATGTGTGTAACAGCTTCCAGTGACCAGGGTGGCGAGCCTAAGCAAAGAAGATTGAGAATGGCTTGACAAGGATTCATATGATGTCTTCACCGCCACTCTTTAGGAGAACGGATGGGACTGCGTCGGCTCCAGCAGCGCATAAAATCCAGGTGAATACCTGGGTTCAAGCATTTCTCAACCTTTAGGTGTCATCGTTCTGGGCAGTAGATGTACAACGTAAGAAATAGCCGTTGTGAGACAAAGAATTGAATATCAGAAGGACTGTCGTTCAATAGTGACGGATTTCATACACATTTTGATCTCTGTAAATTTCTCATTTAACCATGGAGCACTGTCAAGAAGATATGTAAGCTTTTAACTGTCCCCCAATCCATGGATCCACATAGAATAAAGCACATGAAAAATCTGTTGTATAGCATTATTGTGAATGTGTTGCCCTTAGGGTAACTAGGTAAAGTCTTCCTTTAGATTCAATTAATTAATTTGAGCAGTTATGGCCACCTAGCGATTCCAGATCATTTATTGTGGTTCAGGTTTCGTACGTGGTGTCATTTGGGGTGCTGGTAAGCAGCCAAGGTGATCGTGAGGCTGTCCAAAAATCGGAAGTCAGGGGCAAGAAACATGAGGAACTGTCTCAACAATTTCCATTTTCACGCAGGAAGTAGTATATCCAGTGAATTGATGCGTTTGACCGCGTCATTACTCAGGATTTTCTTGTCAGTTTGATACTGAAAAAGAAGAGTAAAGAAAATGCGAGCACAGACAGGACAGTGGAATAACACGCAAGACAAACCGGGAGGAGAGAAGTCCCTATCTTCGTAGACTCATTCGAACTGTATGTAAGCACTAAACTACGCATATAAGAATAACTCTTGTGTTTTTCTCACGTAAAGTTCATACGAGTTTCTATTAGTAGACGCAAAAAGAACACTGACTATACATCTTCGCTCCTCTAGCTGCACAGTGCAGCCAGGTGAACTAGAAACCGAACATCCTTCGTGATACCACTGAGATAAGAGGTACTTGGGATTTATGATAACCCTACTTTACACGTTTAGGAGTCCTAGCACGTTTTCATTTGCCCGTAAGGCATACATAGTGGATAAGCAATTGACAGGATCATCAACTGCTTACAAAGTGACCGATAATAAATTACAAGATTCATTCCAAGTCACATCCTTCGAAGATGTCCCAGTACTAGCATGTTGCATATGGAGATGCAGTCTAAGCTTCAGCCAGCTCCTAGTACTATCAATGTGCGGTGATGCTATGCCCCTCCGACTTTTGGTTCCTCGCTTATATGAAAACAACTTGGTATAAATAGGCAGCATCTAACATGGGACGGATGCACACTTTGTAAAGTAAGAACCGTGGTTTAGTGCCATAAAAGTTACTGAGGATACATCCAAGGAGTCTGGGTAACATGATCTGATACAGGTTATTTGTTCAAAGAATGTCACTGGAATATCTAAAAGCACGATCCAGCGCTGAAGAACGTCTAGATGGCTCTTATCCACATAATTGGGGGCACTCGTCGAAGCCCTTGCCATCAGTCCAAGTTTACTCGTTTATTTATGCCGAATTAAAACGCCGGTTGGTCTGCAGAAATGAGCGAAAGCTGAGAAAAAGGTCATTTATAAGGCAAAATGCAAAAACGTCGATACACGTTTCCTTGGCTGCGTTCTAGGCTGAAATGGGATCGAGAATTGACAAAAGTTGCTAACTTTTAAAGCAAATACAATATGCCGGGGCTCTGGTGGTGTTTAACTGATATTCATTTCAGTTGGATAGCGAATCATAGCAAAGCACACTCGCCATCGAAATATGCTTTGAACTTCTACTCAGTATGTCGTTTTTTACCACCGAGAGATGTAGAAAACCCAGAAGACAGTTCATCTCAGACTACAGCCTTCCCAAAATCCACGGCTCCAAATGAAATTGCATCTAGAAATGTTGACAACAAATGCTGCTTGTATCCGAACATGCAGACTATTCGACTCATGACAACCACTGACCTAGAGACGTGGCTGACAGAAAGTGACCTCATATGGAGCACTGACTTTGCAGCCTTGTGGGTTTAATCATGAAACCTTGTAAATTTTACCTCGTAATGTGACAACAGTATGCGCATGGAATTGCATTTTTGGCTCTGTTTACAACGACATGGACCTGAAAAATCACTACACTCTGCTTGACAACATACAATACTAGTCCCGAATTCCCATCCCTTCCATCTTGGCGTTTGCCTCTAGTTTCGCATGCGGTCTGTTGACAGCACGAATTCGTCAAGTACCCACACATTTTCAGCTTCATTCATGCTTAACACTCAATATACAATGCACTGTTGCTGATTAGATAATTCACCATTACCGGGATACTACTCGTACCGAGTGATAATACCCGTATTAATTTTCGCTGCTGCCGTTTAGGGAAGTGGCCTTTACCCAATATCCATGACCAATAATATCCAAACAGCTGTACACTCTGGAGGACTATATATGGAGCAATACTTTGTCCTTCCTAAACTTTCTCGGCTTAAGTGGGAAAAATAACATTCATATATGCCCTATTAAAATGGCGAGTTTTAGGATAATTAATTTTTCGAAATATATTACCATTAGTATTATTCATACTGACGGGCTAGACGCTGGCTTCGATTATCCAAGGGACGCCTGCAGAGCCTACGTGATACCGACTTTCATGCACAGACAGCTGGGTGCTTTGACTCCGGAGCCCTTCCTGAAGCTGCACAAGAACTATGTTCTACCTCCACTTAGAGGCCCATGACACCACTGCACCATCACATCTGAGGGGATATGAGGACCTCCGGAAGAACGTACAGGGGCAGACAACAAGATTGCTGTAGTAGTGATGCGAAAACATCTTGTGGACAGGCTGAAAGATCTACGGCTTTACTCTCATGACTGCCATAGTCTACGTGGTGACGCGTTAACGACCTATGAAATACTGAGTAATCCTGGTCATCTGAACACTGGAATTCTACCAAACCACCACTGTAAGCATCCTCGTGATAACCCGAGAATAATCGCCAACAAAAGGATGAAGACCTGTGTGTGCTCACACTTCTCCTGTCTGCGAGTTTGCGGCCATTGAAACGCATTGCCTGCGGGGTCGCTGCTGCGTAGTCTGTCGACAGCTTCTAGAAGAGGTTGGACAGCTGCGCAGTGACGCACAGCTCACGCTCATCTAGCTGGAATACGAACTAAACCAACACAGCCTACTGATTCCGTCAGATAAGCATGGCCAACTCTATGCCGAATCTTCTACATCACTATAATCATTGCGAACCCGACTTAACTGTACACCGCCCTGCTGGACGTCTCCTCCAGTAGCCATACCCCCACAAATAATATTACTATTTATCTTCCCATCATTCTTGTAATATAGCTTGCCCCTTCTCTTCCCTCTGACCCTGTAATCTCGCTGCATTTATTAAGGTTCTCCATATCATTTAGCTCCCACGAATCTACCTTGGCTTCACCTTCCATTCCGTTCAGTTTCCTTTCAGCTTGTCTTTTCTTTTTTTTGTACTTCCAGTCCGTTGATTTTACTGTACAACTATCTCCTTTTCACAGCCATTTTGAGCAACTCTCTGGTAGCAGGATACTTACAGAACCCATATGCACTACAGTACCTAGACAAATAATATAATCCCTACAAATAGAATCAAAACCTAACCACCAGCTGGGCTAACCAAAGCTACATCAAGTGACTGATAGGCCTACTGTATCCGAGTCTCTCAAAGACCTGAAACCGTTCTGCAAGACCTAGAAGTGAGAACGAAGAAATCAGTTGCCTTACATTAGCTCATTAAATTACATTGGAGATTGGAAGAAAAACGCAATATTTAACTGTACAGGGTACGCAACTATGTTTGGCTCACCAGTTTATATGAAGCCAGAACCGTCTGCGAAGTCGAAGTCTAGTGTCTTGCAAACCATTTACAATGATCCTTACAAGTGGTATGTCAGTCTCAAATTAAAAATATCTGAGTAGGTCACTTGTGAAAAGCGTCGTGATGTTTGCTTCTGGAGTTTTCGGCTTTCTAATCATACATGAAGCCATGAATGCCCCTGTGGAAGTGGTGTAAATCTCGTTGTCAATAAAAATTTTAAAAAAATTACTGTTTTCTTGATCTTTTTTTATTGGCACTTGTTTAAAAATAATTTATTGGTAAACTTTAGGTTTGATTTTCTTGATGCAATGAAAAGCATTGACGCCAAAATAGATTTTGACAATCCCTTCACTTGTGTTAAAGCTGCTCAAGAACGACTGGACCACTTGAGGGATCGCCAGTTAAGTCGGCGTCGAATACTTCTTCGTCATTTACTCAGGGATAGCTCGTTTTTATCTAAATTAGATAACCGCAACCATCGTAATCTAACTCTGGAAACAGTACTTGGTCATCGCAGGCCACTTCATCTACAATACGATGAAAACGTCCACAAAAAACGGGCGATTTTGTGAGTTGTATTGATGCTAAATTCCTATATGGCAGTTTCGTAGTCCGCCTGTATTTTTAAGTTTCTTTTGTTTTTGATAGTTAGTGTTTTCTTTACGTATCTCAAGACAGCTTAACCTGTTTATTGAATTTAATATAGCCACAACAGAATTTAACTAGTAGACGCTCTGTGTAGGGATCGGATTTGTTGCCTGCACATGCGTTCATCACTTGTTATCTCAGTGTTTTTGACCTTGTGGCTTTTAGTGTATTGCCAGGAGTTGTATTGTCACCAAACTTTGGGGTGTCATGCTGAAACAATTGCGAAACGATTATTGGATTATTTAGTGGTCTTTACTCAGATAATATGTTACTTGGTGGAGAAGACGCTTCTGTGATATGGTAGTCGAATATGAACTGTTTAGCTGCTAAAATGGTAAACAACAACAAACTCAAACGTACACAATATTTATAGCTTTTTGATGCACTTATAAGTCAACAAGGTGAAGTAAAATTGTGTGAGATAAAGCGAAGTAATATCGTAGTGCGTGAATACCACTTATCATGCACAAGATTTTCTGGGGGAATAGTCGTCTTCCCCTACACAGCGTTACTTTGTTCTTCATTCATCTCCGACTTATATTTGCTAAGGTTATTGCGTTTGCTATTGATAGATTTCAAGGCAACGATTAAGAATAGCATTCAGAAGCCTGACCTATTCCCGTAATCGCTTCTGTATTATTATTATTATTTGTCCCTTGGGTTCCTAGTGGAACATAGGGCTTCAGTAGCACGTCTCCATTTCATCCTGTTCTCTGAGATCTTTTGAACCTGGTTCCACAACAGCCCACAAGCTTTCATTTCCTCCTCGCACGACCTCCGCCATGTCACCCTCGGACGTCCAACTCGTCGCTTCCCATGGGGATTCCACTTGAGTAACTGGCCTGACGCGTGATGTCCTCAGTCGGCCTTCTCACTGTATGCCCAATCCATCTCCACTTCCTCCTGCATATTTGTTGCGTGATAGGTTCTTGGTTGGTTCGTTCCCAGAGCTCCTTGTTGCTTATTCTTTCTGGCCATCTGATCTTCAGTAACGAGCGTAAGCAGTTGTTGATGAATGTCTGTAGTTTATTGGAAATGCCTTTCGTAACGCGCCAAGTCTCTGAGCCATACAAGAGCACTGACTTGACGTTGGTGTTGAAAATCCGGATCTTGTTCCGCATGCTGAGTGCAGAAGATCTCCACACTGGTTTCAGGCTAATGAACGCCTGTCTTGCTTTTCCGATTCTGACTTTGACATCCTCGTCTGTCCCGCCACCTGTAGTTGAAACAGTGCTTCCCAGATAGGTGAAGGAGGTTACTTCCTTTAAGTTTCTCCCGTTGATGGTGACTGGAGTTTGCTGTTGTTGTTGATGGTGGTGGTGCTGTATCTTCATCACCTCTGTCTTCTCTATATTCACTTGAAGTCCCGTCTTCGCTGCCTCTTCTATCAACTTGTTAGTTTTTGCCTGCAGATCTTCAAGTTTATGTGACATTAGGCACAAGTCATCAATGGCGAAATCCAAGTCTTCTAGGTTCTTTTCTGCCGTCCAGCGTATCCCCCTCTTCTCACTCCCCACTGTTTGCTGCATGATCCAGCCCACCACAATCAGGAATATCATGGGGGATAGTAGGCAACCTTGTTTCACTCCTGTCTTCACTTCAAAAGCATCACTGAGCTTCCCATTGTGAATTACTTGGCATGTGGCATCTTCATATAGTTGGATGAGGCGGATAAAGGTTTGCAGTACTCCGTAGTAGTGAAGCAGTTTCCAAATTACTTGTCGGTCGACGCTGTCAAAGGCCTTCTCAAAGTCGATGAAATTGAGGTAGAGAGCTGATTGCCATTCTATGCTCTGTTCTATGATGATGCGAAGCGTTGCAATTTGGTCTGCACATGATTTGTACTTCCTGAAGCCTGCCTGTTCCGGTCGCAGTTTTGAATCCAGTGCGTCTTTAAGCCTCTCCAGGATGATGCGGCTTAATATTTTACTTGGGGTGGACAGGAGAGTGATTCCGCGCCAGTTCTTGCAAGCACTGAGGTCTCCTTTCTTCGGCAGTTTGACGAGGTAACCCTTCTTCCAATCGTCAGGTACCTTCTCTTCAATCGCTTCTGTAGAGGTTCTTATTCAGTTTCCTCCTTAGTAAATTGACCATTAGAGCGTGCTTCTCTTCCTTCAGGTATTTTTTCCAAGTTAATTACTCCATGACAAAACTGGTTATGTAAGGCAATGAAGAGTAACAACTCTAAACTAACTTACTAATTCACCTTGAATAATCAGTCAATGGGACTAAAGAATGGAGTGATGAATATAGATTGAAAGGGATCTTGACCATATATGAACTTTTTGATCTTCAGTATCCAGGTGATATCGTTTTAGTTTGTGACAACAGACAAACTACTGAAGTTGCACTTAGTCGGTTGGCGATCAACGCTTATAGATATGATATGTACTGTCCACCATCAAGTGTAAAATAATTTTATGAGTTTAAGTAAGGCATCTACTTGTACTAGCTCGTGAAATTAAACCGTTGGAAATAGTCGAGGGGTTTCTGCATTCGGTAGTTGTAAAAGTGGTAACGGACGTGGAGTGAAACTTCTAATTTTATTCTGAAGTTGAGAAGACTTATCCTAATGTAGGTTACCGTCGATACCGTTATGATGTAATCCTGACTGCAAACAGTTAAACGAAACCAACGTAGAACCTTGCACGCAAGTGCAGATGTTCAAATTGATACAACACAGCAGCATGTAAGGAATAAGTCGACATAGAAAGATAGATCAAAATAGAAGAATGTATACGGGAGAAGAATTTGAAAATAAAGGGTAGTGGGAATGTTCAAGCTTAGAAGACACCAAAGAGTGAATACATCTGCACCACTTTGACCGACTTTCATCCAAGTCACTAAGGGTTCTCCAGCCATTGATTCCTATGGTCTCTAGGACACTAACCAGGTGGTTTACACCTCCCTACACGTCTCAAACCAACAATTTAAGACTTCATGGACTGGTATTGCGTCTTGGTCTGTCCACCCTGAGCCATTTTCCAACCTAGTCCAAATTCTTCTGGTATTGGACTTCGAGGTAGGACATGACTTGGCGTGCGCAATACATTTCGAAGCCATCTCAGTCGCAGCCTCATCGACCGAGTTTCCTTCCTTGCATAGTACCTCTCACGTGACCTTGAAACTGCTTGCTAGCGTGTTGATTCCACCATATACAAGGGTTGTTTCAAAGGCACCTTTGGTTAGGACCTGTAATCTCTTCATATCTACTTGTAACGGTTATATCTCACAGCCGTATAGCAGAACAGACTGCACCGCAGTATACTCGTCCTTTAACAGGTATTTAGACATCTCTCCGGTGCGTGAGTTGGCCAATGTCAAACGGTCCTGTACCTGAACTGAGATTACATCAACAAATAACGCGTTCAGGCTTAAGCAACTCCCAGAGTAAGTGAAGTGGCGGACGCATTCTACAACTTCATTCCTTATCCTTAGACTGGAAGTAGTTGCAGACCATTCTTGTATCAGCATCTTACATCTGACAGGTGCGAAACATATGCCAAACATACTGAGATTTCCACTCAACGTGTTCATAAGGTTGCGTTTTGTCAGCGTCTTCACCAGCAGGACAATATTGTCTGCATACTCCAAGTCAACCTGATAACCTCCAAGTAGTAGGTCAATCCATCTGAAGTCAGGCGTACCTAAGGTTATTTCCACTAGTGCGTCTATGATGAAGTTACATAGGGACGGTGACAGTGGATAACCCTGGCGGACACCACTAGTTGTCATCAGTTCTGGTAATAACTCTCCACAAGCCCTCATATGACTGCTTGAGTTTGAGTAGAGAACTTTGATTAGCGTCACATACCCGCCACTCCCTTCACTGTCTGACACTACCACAGCACCTCATGGTAAACAGGGTCAAGTGCCGCCTTCAGATCAAGAAATATTACAAGTGCCGGCCACTGGTAAGTGTACCTATGTTTCAGAACTCGTCAAAGGGTGAATATTCAGTCGATGCACCCTGGTTCAGGTCTGAAATCTGCCTGGTTTTCTTTAGATGTAAACCTTCAGCGACTGAGGTATCTTGAACGTGTGTTGCGCATGCCAAACCACTTCCTATTTCGAAGTTCAGTGCTAGGAGAAAGTCACAATGACACAGTTTCATTCACTCTTTTTCATCTTCTAAGCCTGAAAGTTCCACCAACCTTCAATTTCAAATTTTTCTCCTTTCGTATACATTTGTCTACTTTGTTATCAGTCTTTCTATGCCCATTCATTCGTTGCATGCTGCTGTAAACTGTAGAAATTTGAACCGATACACTTGTGTGCCAGGTTCTACGTTGATTTCGTATATGTCTTCAGTTTTCTCGAGTTTGCTGTTCTTGTGCTGCAGCTAGGCGTGGGATAATTAGGGACCCTAGGATTTTGTTCACTGTCGGTAAAACTGATTCCCTCTTAGTTGTCACAAGACCTCTGTTTTCTTACACACTGAGGTGACCAGTGAAGCAGACCGGTCTGATGAGAATACTGCTGATTCACATACACTATCTAGTACCTCCGTTACTGTAGTGAGTAATGTTCTACATCCATCCTTATAAACTTCTGGTGGCGAACCGTCAAGCTTTAGTTCTTTGATTCATTTCAGGTTTGAAAAAGCCTTCTCAACTTCGAGTGGAGTTGGAAGACCAACATCTAAATCCCATTCAGGTTCAGGCTAAATGCTGGGCAACTGAAGCGTTACTGAGGGCCATTTGAACTGTACTTCAAGTGTTCCCCCCATTATTCTAGCCGTCTATCCTTAGAGGTTACTAGGGTGTCATCGTTGTCCGTGATGGTTTCATTCACCATCGTTTTCTTGCTGGTTTTTTAATAAGCTTCAATAATGACGACATCTCCATCTCTCTCGATTTCGCCACCCGCCACTGCTCACGATTTTCGTGAAGGCCGTAAAAGGTGTATAACTTTCCTATACAAGCAATTCTCTTACTTAGAAACCTGGCCTCTCTGGCTGACGATATCTTATGTCTGTATCTTCAGTCACTGATGTCTCCATAAGACTGGACACGTACATTGTAAACACTAAGTATATAATTCTGAAGTGAGGCGGCATGGCTGAGATTGTCACTGATTAAGTGAAATAACTTTCCAACACCGACTTCAGTGACCTAAATATGTGTTACGAATATTATCCGAGCAGCTTGCACGCTGTTCACTGTTCGGTTTAGTTCAAGGAAACGGAGTTCCTATAGCAAAATTTTATCGTAAAATTGCATAGTCAACTCTGGTTTGGGCAATCATACTCTAAATACTGAATCTGAGGGTTCGGACCCTGTTCTGGTACCTTGCTGTAATTATCAGCTGTCATACGAAAGGTGCCGCTTACGGCGTGGCTTGTGGATGTACTTATCGATAATTCACTGAAATCTGCGGTGGTCTCTTGTTTCTACGGAAAGCACTTGTGACTTGATAAATTTGCTGCTCTTATATTCACATACATAAGAATTTTCAATTAATTTTTCTCGTTTTTATCTGAATTTTTCTGCATACATAGTACACATAATTTACAGGTACATTATACACAAGAAACTTTGGTGCATGGCGAAACAGGAATCTCCTGACCTTTCAATATCGTTTATACTGAGTAGCGGATGATTTATGCAGCAACTTGAACTGCAGAGGTGGGGTAGATGCACTCAGATGAAGAGTAGATATAGAATTGAATACCTTTTTCAACTCTATTTCATATTACCGTATCTTTAGTGATTCGCAGGGAATTTACAGAGAGCTACCTACTGCTTTCGACTTGTAATTAGCGTTCCTAAGAATTACTGTAGGTCCGCGTACAGCATAGTTTTCTAATCAAGAAGTCTTTACCTTGGTATCCGTTTCCACGACAATATCTGTCTGATCACAGTAATCATTTTTTGTAAGTTTTGTTGTGCTAACTATGTGAATTTATTTATTTAGAGAGAAACAAACTAAGGTCATAAATAAGTGTAATCTTAAAGACTGTGTAATTCTTATTTTCCATAAAAGCGAGGAACTTTGACTATAAATTTTTCGTTATCATACATGTGTTGTTCATCAGCTTATATACTTGACTTCAAACATTCTCAGTCTCAAAGCACACTGCACCTAGTTTGGTTGAAGAGACGGTAGTATCAGGAGCTTTCACACATTAAGCGTATTTCATACCTTCGCATGGAAACATGTACCGGCTTTTGCTACATAGTAATCTTTGTGTATTTGTTTTGTAACGATAGCTTTCCCTCTAATCACTCATTTGAGAGAAGTCGCTGCCTAGATTGAGAAATATATATTTCATGTAGATTGGATTCAATATGTTACTTACCTAATGGTATATGTATTTGCAGTTAGCGTGTTACTTAGCCTACTACGTTTGTTATTGCCATACAACACAGTAATGGGATAGGTCTAATCAGACAACTCAACGAGGCTCTGTATTTCCTTTTTACGTCCGTCACTACGACCATTGACCTAGATTTTGCACTTCTGTAGAAGACCTAGGTAGCACTTAACAACTACCATGAACATGTTATTAACTGGAGTGAGTCATAGAGCGAAATCGGTTCAAAAAACTAGAGTTTAACCTGGAACATTTTATAAGTTGGGCAATATTATGTTTGGGTGATGTATCACTTTAGTTTTCTGTCTACTGTTCACCCATTTTATCGTGGATATTCTTACTAACTATGTAATTCCTTAGGTTATTGATATACGTTCATGCTAGCTTTTCCAGTTTCATATACCAACTGAGTCACAAGATAGGTTTTGAAGAATCACTTCGTAGTTTAGCTGATTAAGCTTTCCCTTATCCTTGTGAAACACAGGTGCTGGCATTTTTCATCGTTTCACCTAATCGCCATTTCAAACCTGTTTATGTTCTTAAATTCTCAGTGTGATGAATTTCATTTTTCTCCATAGAGAGAAGAGGTTAAGTGGCTCAATAAACTTCGAAACCACAAACTGGAATCTTCCAATCCTAAAGCATGTATTTTATGCAATAACTGATTTCTTACATTCATCTTATCTAAGACTTGAAGAAGGCAAATGAACTATTCATCATGACTTGTGGGCTGTTTACTAAATTAATTTCTTGATCCTTAAGTCGTGTTGAAACACATATTTGGGATGTTATTTCTGTCCATTTTTTGCTTGTTACTTTCAATCTTTTAAATACTTATCTGAAATCTGTAGGAAATAGAGTATATTCGAATGTTAGGGTGCACAATTACCTTGAAAATTTTCAGTTCTAATCAGCATAACTCCTTGTTTGTTTGTTTTATACCCAGTAGTGATATCAAAATCAGGATGGCTGTTTTGTTTGATTTTAGAAACACTAATTATTTTTCACCAAAGCGGTAAAAAGACAATTTATCTGGTGTATTCTCTGGGAATACTTTGAACTGCTTGACCATATGCTCGGTTGTGATAGATGTCTATCTGAAAAGTTAACAGGTGTGAAAATGTGAAACAATAAAGTGAGAATAAGAAGTTGAAACCAAAAGTAATGGTGAAAATCAATAGTGCAAAACCAATATTGTATTGACCTTGCTTTGTAACCAAATTTAATAAGCTTTAGTATAGAAATGACTGTTTAGGTGGCCCAAAACTGTGAATAGATAGGGCCTAGCCGAAAATAGCAATGTCTCCAGCAGGTTTTGTATGTTAAAAATGTGTAGAAACACCAATCTTATAGTCCGTCTCAACAATGTGTCTTGATATCACTGAGCTCAATACCTGTCACCAACGTCGATGAAATCATCTGGTGAGACCTGTTTCTGATACTGCTTTGAAATATGCACTGTTGCTCTTAATTGGACAAGTCTATGAATCCTCCTTATACTAGTATGACCAAACGTACATTCAATCTGATAAATACAATGAAATTTGATGGTATTGTTCACAATTAAGAGTCTGTAAGGTAAACAAACCTAACCCTTCTCACTAACATGACTTTGGCTGTGTAATACACCCTTTTGATAGCTTAATGACCATGCCATGAGATTGATTTATCTGTGAAACCTTGATGAACATAGTTCTCTTCGGGTTAGAGTTAACAGTGTGTCTCAGTGTGTTTTAGCCGAAGTCAAAATGCAGTCAGGAACCACGTGCACATTTGTGCAGTAGGGCAATGATCCACATCCGTTATGTTGAGGGATAGCGATACTACCCGACTGACCATACCTCGATAGGTGGAGTGGGGTTCGAACCCATGACCCACTAGTTGAAAGTCAACTGCCTGAACTAGTGAACTACATTTTATCATTTGAGTAATTAAATTACGAAACGAGTAATAATAAGACTGAGAAGTGATGGTAAAATCAAAGTCTGTTAGACTGGGCACTTTAAACCAGTGAGACATGGATTCGAATCACACTCCTTTATTGAGATCTAGACAATAAAGCAGCATCGTTTGCACTCACATAGTTTATAGCTCAAAAACGAGTACACAAACATCTGTGTGGTTAGTAAGTTCCACAATTATTACGAAGTAAAGTTAACGACAAGGTTATTAGACTGTATTCATTTACATGGGTGCGTATGTGTGTGCTATACATACCATCTCATTATTTAATTTCGCAGTAAATGTTGATTAAAGGCTTTGAGTATCCCTAGAAAGATCAAACTATAGCCGCTAATCCTTGATTGTTTGAGTGGTATTGATTGGAGGATATACTGCTCAGAGTTCAGCAATGAGCTTTTGTTTTAGATTTGTCCAACTCTTTACAGAACCTTTTTTGACCTCATACTGTGTGTCTTCAATAATTGAAAATGCTATGATGGAGGTTTAGCTTGACGGTTTAGGTATTCGAATTTTCAAAACATGACCCTGGATCTAATCCTTACCCACATTACTTCAACCTCAAGCTATAAAAAAATAAGTGTAGCTATAAGTCTAGTACATACATTGCATTTTTTTAATTTTTTAAGATGAAAATTGTAATTTCCGTAGGCATACGTTTTGAAAATCTGCATCAGACTTTTTACGGTTAGTAATTTACTTAATTCAGTCACACTTCATAGCTAATTGACTACTTAATGGATCACTTAACATTCCTTTATTCCAAAGATGTTTTTGTGAAAGTGAAACGAAGCTTTAAAACCTATCTAAATCCAATTGCGAAATCTACGCTTTTATTTCACATTTGTTCCAGAGAAATTTGGTGATACGTTTATCTTTGGTAGTATTTAATTTTATTTCATAAGTCATAAGTGACGTGGATAGCCTACCCTTAATTTTGCAACAGTTTCTTGTCCTTAAACATGATCGGATGGATCGCGTTTTCGGCTTCTGTTCAATATGCTGTTGAAATGTATGACAACTTAAACTGATGCGGTCTTTGGGCATCAATCTATGTAGACAATTATTCGTATTCATATAGTGTGTTTCTATTCATATACATTTTGACTCGTCTCCTACTATGCCTATTTCTTTTTATGACAGACCAGTCATTTCTCGCCTCAAAAGTCCAGTACTTAGCCTTAAGCTACGTCGTGCGATACAATCTTTCCTACAAGAATCCAGTACAACTAATCATGATGATAATAAACAAATTGTTCAACAGTGGGATAAATTTAGTCTTGAAGTTGTGGGCGATAAACTCAGACAAACTTTGGCATCATGTTTATCAAAAAACACAGACAATGGTAATCTGGGTGATAAAGCATCAAATGAAGACAGTACTGTCAGTAAAACAGAAGATCCTGGTGGTGATTTAGTTATCAGAACATACAATGGGTCAGCTGCCTTCCTTAAGGTAACGTCTTTTTGCACTTCATACGACAAATGTGTTCTTTCCCTAAGTTATTTTGCAGCACATTTAAAATGCAAACTAAACTCAAAGTAGTAAATTGAGAACTGTTTTATGAACAAGTTTGTGCCGGTCAACCAGATTCTAAAAATCGGCTATTTTTGCCTTTGATATAAAATATAGTGGTACTTACCAACAAATTTTGACTTATTAAACCTTAAATAATCTTTCATATATATGCTTTGGTATTTAAATGTATCAACATACCATGAACCCTTTTGTGTCGAAGGCAATTAGCCACATATATTGTCTGTGGGCTACCTGACTGCTCAGAGCCCGGTAAGTAGAGCGTGGTTCAAATTTGCGACCCACTATTTGCACTCCGATTACCTATAGAAGTAAACCACGTCATGGTTTTTCGGTTTGTGGATAACCGTCTCAGATTTCAGGAATAGTTTATGGCTTACAAGATTATCTTATCACTGTACAATGAGAGCAGCATGTATGATATCGGGAATTGAGTTACTTCTTTTTTTGCATCAGATTCAACCAAAATATCTACCATTAGTAGTAAAATGTCCAATTCGCGGTAGAACCTAAAAGTGGTTATAAGTTTTATTTTGAAGCTGCCAGTGCATATTGCTGAGGAAGTCCTGGAGTAGATTAAAAAACTCTGTTCACTTGACATATATATCTATTATTTAGTACTAAGTATTTTAAGATATTCAGTGGAAGATCTTTTACGCCGTTTCTGTGTGTTTGTTCCTACCACCAACGAGTCGCTTCGAATATCTTATGAAATGTTTATCATCGTCTCTGCGATTTCAAGTCCTGTTAGGAAATTTTATTGGTTGTCAGTTGTGCTGCAATAATAACATATTTTTCTTACAATTTGAAGTACTTATTGAACTTCCTCTGTTCTCATTTCATTGCTAATTTAACCGAAATCGTTAACTAGAAAGATAGACAAACAGAATCAACATAGATCCTCGCACTTAAGTGCATCGGCCCAATTTGCCACACTTCTCAGTAGTAGACAAAGTTTTGTGAGACAATAAGCAGTTTTAAGTTAGATGTAAGTGCGAATATTCAGACTTAAGAAGACGTCAATGATTGAGTACATCTGCGTTACTTCGACTGATTTTCAGCCATGTCACCAAGAGTCTTTAACCACTGGTTTCTATCGTCTTGGGGACCCCAGACAGGTAGTTTGCACTTCTCTACGCGGCTCAGACGGATAGTAGGAGACTTCATCAACTGTTGCCATGTCTTGATCTGAGTCTTCTTCCGACCTAATCCAGCTTCCCCTAGTAGGGCTCGTCGAGATGAGTGGTGACTTGGCATACGTAACACATTTCCAAGCCACCTCAACCGATGAAGGTTCGCAACCTCATTGATTGGCTTCTTTCCCTAGAACCCTTTGTCTGACCTCAACATTGCTCACGTGGTGATTCCATAATACACGAGTAATGCTGCGAAGACACCTGTGATTGGAAACCTGCGACTGTTTCATGTCTTCTACATTTAATGACCACGTCTCAGCTGTATGACAGGACAGAACGAACTGCAGTGCAGTATGTTCGTCCTTTGGTAGATGGTTGTATGTCTCACCAGTCGGCAGCACACATGACAGTTCGGCAAATGCCAAACGGGCCTTCTGTATCCGGTCTGAGATTCTGTCAGCAACTACTCCGTTCGGGCTGATGAAACTTCTTTATCACTAAACTGGGAATAGTTACAGACCAGTCCTGAAGCATCATGTTCCATTTGACAAGGGCGAAACGCATGCCAAACATGCTCAGATTTCTGCTCAATGCGCCTAAAAGACCGTTTACTAGAAACCTTACATGACGCGATTTATCTTAAACCAGTGCACTATTGTGTCAAATTTCACGTTGTTACAGTCAACTAGATATTGTAGGGCTATATGTGAAATATAAATTAAACTATAATTCTGATACTTAAAGTTTTATTTCCACTCAAATAACTCACAGAGTATAATGCTTCACGTAATTACTTCTTTTTTTCGATAGGGAACTCAAAGTGCTAATCCACATAATGACTATTGTCAGCACTTTGTAGATACTGGTGAACGTCCACAAAATTTCATACGTGATACGGGTATGTTTGATTTGTTTTTATTAGTTTTGTTACATCGATTGTTTGACAGAGCATATAGAATGAGCAACACCTGTGGATTATTAGGTGGGGGTTATAGCAGGATCATGCAAATCTAATGATCATACCATAAGGTTACTGAGTTTTACATAAAGTTGGTTTTTTATTTACATAACTAAAGGAAATATTTTTACGAATTTCTGTTAGATTGTACATTCTAAAACAGCCATCGTACATTTTAGTAGCTATGAATGAATATTTTACTCAACGGGATTTATTTATATCCGGCATTAAATTCATTCGAAAAGAAAACTGGTTAATTAGGATTTTTCAGACAATGGAACCTGTAGACTACAGACTTTTGGCAATATCTGATTCGAACTCAATTTTAGCTGACATTTTATCTTTCTTTAAATTACCGAGTGTTTAAATCTCGTACGCATTTTCTGTTTGTTTGTTACATCTATTCTTCGATCACCCTAAGTTGAATCTATGTACTATTGTAACAAGTTTATTAGTATGGTGATTAGTTATTCGATTGTATTTTGTTGACAATTGCGAGAACAAACTGTGATCCACCTGATGAGATCTCGAGAACCGGATTGTATAATCTTCATATAATACATAATTTAAGTGCATCTGGCGTATGTTTTTTTAGGTTGGGGTTCATCATGAACTGACATCAGTTGGGGGAACATTGGAAACCTGAGAGCACCGGACAACTGTTTCGCTCATATTCGGGACTAAGCAGTGCGCACCCGTGACCTCGCCAAGAATCGAATTCAGGACCTTCAGGTTCCGTGGCCAGCACGTTACCGTCCAGCCACTGGGCCATTGGATTCTATCCATTGGTCCATATTTCTCACTTCTGTCAATTCACAATATAGCGACCTACATCCATTTTCGTCGTTGAATAACTGTCCTTATTTTCGACGTGGTTGACTCCATTGATCATGACTTCTCGTTTGAATTTCGGGGATCACCTCTCGAAGCTAGTCACCGGTGAGGAGTCCTATACTAGCACGAAACACCTGTCCAGTGCTCCCAGATTTCCAATGTTCCTCCAACTGATGTCAGTCCATGATGAATCCCAACGTAAAATCAACTAATAAACCTCCACAAAGCTCCAGATGGAATATGTTTTTTAAAACTTACTATGAGTCACACTTATTGTGTGACGCCTTGTTATACCACCCGGTTATCCATGTCGGAGTTGATGGAGCGGGATTTGAATCCAGAGCCCGTTGCTTCAAAGCTCAATAGTTAAGCCGCTGGATAACAGCTCCACAATATCTACAGCTAATCAAATAGTGCGCATATCTCCAAGTGGTCACTAGATTGCTATTCTTTCTCCATTTTTTAGGAAAAAAAGCATAATATTTCAAAGATGGTCACGATATATGGGGGCTTCTTATTTTCTGTTTTCAATTTGTTTGGATCGTATTGATTAGCCTCTATTGACTTATGAGCTGCTATACGCATACCTTGATATAGTCGGGGATTTTATTTTAATATTAAGGATGGGTAATGGCTCGTATTGAAATCTAGTAAACGCGTTTTGTCTTCTTTGGCAGATACATCCAGATGACAAATCCCAAACAGGGCGGAATGCATGTCCTGCATCCTACTGCTAGCCACTACCCATCCTTAATATTCACAATAGTTTAAAATGAGCTGATAATGAAAATTAAATATATGCATAATGCGTTAGTGGAAATAACTCTCCAGTTCAATTTTTCAATCTAAGTGTAGCATTCACTCTTACAGTCTCGAAAAGAAAGCAGTAGTATTTTAGGTTGTTGAAGTTTGCTTGTCGAAATTTTTTATTGCATAAAGTGAATCTTCTTATTTTCAGAAAGAATGTATAGGGGTATTAATGTTACAAAGCAAATAAAGAGTAGAAGTTTGGCTCAAAGTCCAAGTTGTTTGTCTCGTTAGCCAATTTACCTTCACCTTTTGAGTCATAAATTCGAAATATTCATCACCAGGCAAGATCTAAGCAATTAGCATGATATTGTTAGCCTTCCCAGTGTATTTGTGTGACTCGTAATGTGATGCATGAGTTTGAAGGTATTCGCCCCTGTGGTAATGAGATGACTATAGCTAACAGTAAAGTATCGCTTTGGCATTTCCACATACTGCGTTTACAATAGAAACAGATTCATGGGAATGATGAATAAATTTGCAAAGTAAAAACTGAGTCTTTTGGCTATGTCTTTCTTTTTACTAACTTGAACTACAGGACTTGATTACTGAACCTGATTTCAATTTCACTTTCATAACTGACTTTTGTGTTAGGTGGAAGTTGCTGCTATGATAGATGTTAGTTGGGTGGAGGCAATCGACACGAAGGTTTAGACCTAGGTTTCGTGCTTGTTAGCACTTGCAAACCCGATGGGACTGATGTCCTGCCAGAGATTCGGACCCGCATCACCCAGCATTGTAGTCAGCGACGTTACCGCTGAGCTGTTCGGGCTGCGACTGCCCTCCTGTAGGACTGCATTCGATAGATTGATAGATAAGGTAGTTTGAATCTCAGGCGAGATATCAGTCTTATCGGGGTTACAGATAGGCCTTGCTGACGAGTGCCAACAAGCACGAAACCTAGGTTTAGGGCTTCCTGCCGATTGCCTCCATTCAAGTAGAATCTATCAAAGTGCCTCGCAATGCTGAGCTGCCTAGTCTGGCGGCCACATTGCAAAATGATCGGTAGGATTCGACCAGCACTTAGGACTAGACAATATGAAGTTGGGTTACCTTCCAGTAACTTATCAACAGATGCTGCTATATTTTTAGCTTGATATTCAGAAACAGTATATATCTTACAGAATATCGTGAACTTAGCTATCATGCTTATTGATACTTATCACGAAGCTATTCTTTCACACTCCAGCAGATTTATGCTCTCTTAAACGTTCGCTTTCATATTCTTCTGTGCAACAGTTAACTACGTTTACATTAGATCTATATACAGATAAAAAAGCGTGGTTTTTCATACTACTAGTGAAGTGTAGAAAACAGTGAACTAAATTGGAACTTTCTTTGACTTTTCCATATGGAACGTTAACTGAGTACATGCATGAGTTAACGTAACACCTTTACGAAGCATTACGTAATACTTGTTCTCAAGATATCACTAGCTAAACTTTTTCAATAAAATTCATTATTCTTCTCCATCAGATTTTACTATAATTTTACCAAATAAAAAATCTTGAATATTACTTGATAATAAGTAGCAGAAAATTAGACCAAGGTAGTGGTTAAAAAAGTGAACTTTATTTTTTCTATGTTGCTAGTAGTTCTGGGGAAAGTAGTAACTGTTATACTCTCTTATCGACTGCCTGTTGTTCACCATCAATACTAATTATAAATATTCAAAATATGCACTACTAGTATTTATCATCAATTCTAACCGAATTCTTTGTACGTATTTGTTTCTCAGGTTTAAGGAATAGATTTGAAGAGTATCCGAAATTACGTGAATTAATTCGACTAAAAGACCAGTACATTCAATCAAAAGCTACACCACCTATGTATTTGTGTGCTGATCTAAGAACATTTGATTTAAATGAATTAGATTCAAAATTTGATGTTATCCTAATTGAACCTCCGTTGGAGGAATATCACCGAATGAATGGTGCTGTGTTTGATCAGTACTGGAGCTGGGATGAAGTTAGTTTGTATTGTATTCACCATTTTCACTATTCTTGTTCTTATTCTCATTCTATCATCAGCTTTCATCTTGTGGTACAATAGTCTGTGATCGCATATCTGAAAACCTCCTTGATCAATGAGTGATGCAGTTATTTAGTATTGCAGCCTTCATATGATTATTTGTCCCTTGGGTTCCTAATGGAACAAAGGACTTCAGTAGCACGTCTCCAGTGAACTCTGTTCTCTGCAATCTTTGAACCTGGCTCCACGACTGCCCAGAAGCTCTCATTTCTTCCTCACAGAGTCTCCTCCATGTCACCCTCAAACGCCCAACTCACCGTTTCCCATCTGGGTTCCACTCAAGTGCCTGACCTGGTGCGTGATGTTCCCGAATAATCTCAGCGTATGCCCAATCCATCTCCACTTTCTTCTGCATATTTGTTGGGCGATAGGTTCTTGGTTGGTTCGTTACCAGAGTGGTTTCCTAGTTGCTTATTCTTCCTGGCCATCTGAGCTTCAGTAACGAGCGTAGAACTAGTCCCTTGTCTGCTATACCATGTTGTGTACTGGATTGTAAGTTGTGTATCATTATTAATGGACTGATGATAGTTACCCACCTTCGAAAACTAAATTGAGTCTTAGGATCCGTAATCCATTGGCTGATGATCAGATAACTAAAACAATAAACTACAGTTGTTATTTGAGTACTGACTTTCTAAATTTGGAACATACTATAATATAATCAAGAGACATGAATGTTAACGCCAAGTGTGTATTATTCCGAGAAGCATCTTACATTGTCACAGAACGAAGCACTTCTTATTCCTAATTAATTTTAGTTAAAATAAGAGTAAAACTTGTGCACTGGGGTAGAATGTAATTCCATTTTTATTGATTTATTAGATTTATCACATAGTATAACAGTATTGTTGATTGAATTATGTTTCGGACATAATTTATTGTCCATATTCATATCAAGTAAGGTAACTACACAACTTTGATATATCCTTTATATAATCCTAATTTCCTCGCTCCCTTTGTGACATGGGTAGTAAGATTTTCAATATATCCGGAATAATAAATGCTGATGACTGGCAACAGATGGCTGTAGAAAAATTTATTCCGGCTCCAAGAATATGGTTTCGATATGTAGACGACACAGTGTTACAGTGTTGAAATCGGAGCACATACATAATATCTTCACATATATGAGGTCAGTAGTCAACACAATCCAATTCACCTATGAATTAGAAAATAGTGAAAGGGAATTAGCGATTGTTGGATTGCAGAATAAAACGCAAACATAATGGGAGTTTAGACACTAGTGTCTACAAAAAACCTTCACATTCAAATCGTTACTGAAACTCCAAATCATCTTTCTCTATGTCAGTTAAAGTTGGCTGACTGAATTGTCTAAGTAACAAGGCCCAAAGAACTCACTAGTAAAATAAAAATTCTAAGACTAGAGACCACATACACTAAAGACATCTTACTCATCAACAATTACGCTCCCAAATTAATTGATAAGTTTCTCAGGAATCGTAAAAAAAATATCAGAAACACGGTTATTAATAGTAGTGGTAATAATGGTAATGATAGCAATAACAATAGTAATAATAGTGGTGATACTAATGTTAATAATAGTAGTGGCAATACTGTAAAGAGAGAATCCAAAACCTCTACAGTACTACCATACAAAGAGGGCACCTCAGAAACACTATGTAGAACTCTCAATAAGGCAGGCTGGGATTGGAGTGGTATTTAAACCTACAAACTCACTTCGAAATAGGCGTTGCAGGTTAAAAGATCCTATTGATCGAACTAGGCAGAATAACTTAGTTCACCGAATCCCTTGCAACGATTACGAGGTCAAATACATAGGTGAAAGTAGTCGACCAAGGTCAATTAAGCTATCCGAACACAAAAACCTGGCCAGGTCAAATCGGTAGATCCTAGTTAGGTAAGGAATTTAGAAAAAAGCTCAGCCATAGCTATGCATGCGATTAAACACAACCACACAATAGGATGGGACAGGGTGAAAATCCTTAAAACCAACATAACAGGGTGAGGGAGAGATTGATAACTGAATCTTTATTTATCGAATCAATCAGTCCCTAATACACGCAGCAACAGGATTGACTCAGCACCTGTTCGGGACGTATGGAAAATCTTACTACCCATGTCACAAAAGGGCGAGGAAATTAGGACTATATAAAGAATATCTCAAAGTTGTGTAGTTATCTTGCCTGATATAATTATGGACAATGAATTATGTTCAAAATGTAATTCAGTAAACACTACTTTTACTCTGTGTAATGAATCTAATAAGTCAATAAAAATGGAACTAATTGTAGTTAAATCATTTCATCCATCGGTAAAGTAAAGCAAACTTTTTATTGATTTTCTCCCTATTGCTTAGGCTTGAGTTATAGGTATGAACTGTTATAGTGTAAGAGACGACAAAGAATGAGACGCAGGACAGAATGTTTGTTATGACGTTTTGTACAGTACTCATCAAATATTGTACACTTTCCATTAAGACAGTCATTTGCACAATGTGCTTTATTTCCTTTTCTGCTCCTACCTCGATTTGCTCTTAATACGCCTATATTGTCTCTTGCATTCCTCTGGGCAGAATATTTACCCATCGCTGGTAATTGCCTATAATTTCTGCCGCACTCCCAACATATACTACTTATATCCTTTCTATAAGTAGTACCCACTACAGTAGTACAGTAAAACATATGCCTAATTCTCAGTCTATTTTCAGATGCCTTTATAAATTCCTTTTCATTTACAAAAGGTGGTAGCCTCTGTTTAAAGTTTTTAGACCTTGAAAATTGTTCTGTATTAGTAAGAAAATTATAAAGTGAATATTAACTAATAAAAACCTGTGAATTGCTAACTAGAAATGTATAAAGTTAATAGCAAATTCTATGATAATACATTTGACTGTTTAACTTGAATCACACAAGTTTGAGTTTCACAGAGAAATGCATAATGGATTGTGCTCAGTGTTGCCTAGAGCTTCCAATACTTCATATCTAAATTTTAAATCGCCTGATTTAGTAAAATCATCCACCTTAACTGATAAATCTCGATAAAAAACAAAGAAGCACGATATGGTATTGTGCATATCAGCTAAAAGTATATACTTCAATATCTTAAATTCTCTTCAATAAAGAAATTTCCTCAAAAGAAATCAGAGTAGAGTATTCAATTATCGGTAAAAATATTGCAGTGTTCATGCTAATATTTGCTGTAGTAACTACACTTACATATTTCATAACTCATATAAAATTATCTGTTTTATAATTTTACTACCAAAGGATTTCAGTTTTTGGCTACCATGATTGTACTGTTTAACCTAGGTTCAGGTAAAATTCTTTGAGAATAAGATGTTCAAGTCATTTCGACTCGTTAGAAATGAATCCCTAAGATGGCTACCGATTTTGGACTAGCATTACTTTCTGATTATCACTCATTTAAGGTTGGCTTACACTACCGTATGATTAATGCGCATGTGTAATGTAGAGAGCTGGAGAAATAGAGTAAGTTGTTCTAATGGGGGAATGTTAGTTGGAGTTACAGATGAGTTGGACAATCAGATTAAGATATGATATTAATGTATATGATCTTTGATTATTAGTCGAAATCATGCTAGGAAATGCAAATTCCCTGACTGGAGACTGCTTGGTAATGGAAAGGAATAGTTAAGAACTTTTTACAGTATAGTCTGAAATAAATTCTAGATGGTGCAGATATTGTATGTAATTTTTAATTCTTATGAACTTATTATAATAGATTTTCATTCCCCTACTTGTTTTATTTCTTATTTATTCAGTTCTTTGCTTTATCACTGATATTACTGTTATTCATTATATTTCACTGTTTTTAATTTTGTTGATCATGGATTAAGGAACTGTGATACTCAATAACAATGTGCAGGTTCGTGCCCTTGGTTACTAATCATACATATTGTGTGTAGTAATAACTTGAGCTGATATGCAGCTACATTGAATCCTTTACTATCTACATTTATCTGTAGTTTTTTAACCCATTTGAAATGTAACCAGAGATTTTTTTTACAGAAAGACTAAATATTGTCCAAACCGTCCTATTGTGTTGACAGTCTGTGCTATTAAGCAGTACTATTAATTATTACCTCTACACAGTACAGCATAAACTCAGTTTATTGGTGCTCTTACTTGGAACTTACAGTTATTACAGAGATCTGATAGAATAATAACCGTAAATCCTTACATTTTATAGAATATACCTTGTTGAAATAGTATTTGTTGTTTTATGACATTACCACCTCATAAGCAAAGTTTCCTAATTAACTTTTTACTAATAGATATGTTCCCATCAAAAGCATTATAAACGTGTTTAAACGAATATACATACATACGGCTGCAATAGCCGAGTTTCTTTTCCAGACTATTGATCTTATTGGAGTCTGTCATTCTATACTTAGCTAAATTCTTATGTTCCGCTAATCTACGGTGGCATTTAAATCTACAAACTCACTCACAGATCAGCTTTATCGACTCAAGAATCAGATAGAATCAACTTAGCAAAACAATCTAATCTATCAAATTCCATGTAATGACTGCCAGGTTAAGTACGTAGGTCAAACTAGTCGGTTGGGATCAGTTAGATTAGTGGAACATAGAAATTTAGCTAAATATAGAATAACAGACCTGAATACGATCAATTATATGGAAGAAAACTTGGCTATTGCAATGCATGCATTAACAAACAACCACATAATAGGATGAGAGAAAATCACTGTACTTAGATGAAGTGAGAGATTGATTACTGAATCTTTGTTCATCGAATCAACGCCCAACACATGTAATAGGAATGATGCAATACCTATACCAGAGATATGGAGAATTTTACTACCAATAAAAACAAAGAATAAAAAGTGACAGGACTATAAAAATCGATTGTTCAAAGTTGTGTGATTACATTGATATGATTATGAGTGATGATAATTTATGCTCGAAACGTCATCAAGTAAATAATACTGTATCACTATGTTTTATAAATCAAATAAACAAATCTAATATAGAATTACAATCCACATTTTTCTGTTGAAGTAAATCCCGTAAATCTAATTTTTACTGTTCACTTGTCCTTGGGACTAGTTGAAAAAGGCACAGAGGCGATTATTGCATTACATAGTTCCATGAGATTAAAGGATATTGTGTTAACTTAGTATCTCTTAGTGTCACGTAACTTCATGGATAAGGTCTAGCACATTATGCAACTCAATAACTTAAGAAGATGGCCGATATAGCTTAAAAACAAAGCCAATGGCTATCATGCTGCAGCTTTGTTGCTTCTTCGATTCATCAAAAGTGTAAAACCAAAGGTAGTGAATCTTTTTTTAAAATATACCTTTTTAACCGCTTCTCTAGTGACCTACACCTACTTTTTTTTTCTATTCTTGTTTTGTTTTTCTTTCTATACCATATTTTTGTCTTCTTAATGTTCCTATATTATTTTGTATAGCTCATCTCTTAGTATTTATGTTGTTTTGCCAAGTTCGTATTTATTTTTAGATAAAATTTTACAAGAGCAATTGTTACCTCTTTGATGTTAGGTTAGAGAAGGGGGAGAAGATCTTGTTATCCATTCATTTATGCAATCAAATTTCTTGTGGAGAACTTCATATTATTGTAATTCCATCGTGCTGTAGAAAACTCACCTGATTTTATTAGTGATAATTTCTACTCTTTGGGTTTCTTTGAGTTATTTTGCTGTTAAGTTCATAGTATTTCCTGTTTTTACTATGATCGTAAATTTTTGAATTGTTAATGTATACTTATTGTTTTCTCTAATAATTATTGACTTAGATTGAACGTTTGGAAATTGAACAGATTGCTGCTCCACGTGCATTTGTTTGGATCTGGTGTGGGTCTGGTGAAGGCTTAGATGCTGCTCGTAAGGTAAGCTTTTCCATTGTTACTCATTAATAAACTAAATTAGCATTATCATTTTTGTTATAGGAAGTTGAAAATGCTAAATGTTTCAGTCCAGCTTAACTGCATTAATAGCTTATAAGTATCAAACTGTTAAGCGCGATAATAAATTTCGTTGAGTGTACATTATCGATGAGTTCTGCAACATGACGAAACATATTTACTAATCTCAGTATAATCTGTGTTCAGATGATATTTATTGCGGTCTAACTATTGATACTTTATTATGCATGTATATTCAAACTATCAGTTTGTGAATACAGGAAAAGATTTTGGTTGAAATAAAACTTGACTGAGAAATTGATATTGTAGCTCATTTTAGAAAGTATTTGACTTATATTATTCATTTTTACTCGTGATTTTTCGTTGTTATTTTGGATCGAACTCCTATGCGGATGCCTCGATATAGCCTGATTATTGATTATGTTGTAATTTTCTGGGTAGGAATAACACAACTCACCGGGATGCAGGTATATCCAGCTGACGAGTCTCAAGTAGGACTAAACACGCGTTGTGGATTCCTCTGCTAGCTACAACCAAGTAAATGACCATAATGCATTTTCAGGCATTATCGAAGCATTCGTATAGGAGCCCATATGCCAAAAAAGGTTGAACAATTCGATCCAGTACAACGACGGAGAATTACAAGTATATTAACAAATAGTAATAACTAATACAGGAGGTGGCTATCGTGCCCCCGTGGCCTTATTTGTGAAGTTACATTGGCTTAAATCGGTTGGTCTCTGAGGAAATTCCAGCTGGAGTACAAGGGACCGGTTCAAGATTTGCCAATTTTCATCATCTCTGACTATGAGGAAATACCAAACTGCCTATAAAAAGATGAGTATGCTAGGCAGCAGTCTGTTTGTCTGACACTAACCACTTGATTTTGGGTTCAGACTGAAACTACGCACTCCGGTTCTGTTTATCATTTAGTAACATCAACCCTTCAATGTAGGTTGGAGCCCATAGCAGAGGTCTCGCTGATTAGATTAAGAACTGGAGTTGGTCCTTTGTTCAAACTCCGCCCTACTTACTGAGTCCTAAGTAACTGAGTAGTATTATAAAGTGTCCTACGATAATCGTAACTCAGCCTAGGACATAAATACGTACATGTATGACTTGCGGTAGGAGTTCACAGGCTATCATAGAAAGCTGTTTGATTTTGCTGAGTTTCATTATTGTGACTGCTCATGGATAGAAATTTCAAGTTCTATAAAGAAGCGTCTTTCAAAACACAAGCCTAACACCAGTGTCACCAAGTCGATCATAACCGTTAGCAGACAACATAGCAAGAGAATGCTTGTGATCATTGAAATGTGTGATATACATCCATAAGGCTAACTTCTACTTACAAGAAGAAATAGTGGTAACCTTATATCTGATCTTTGACGTAACTAGTTTTATTTATTTATTTTCACAGTTCTGACACTTCTTTTGCTATTCATAAGTCTACCCTATTTAATGGATAAATACTTTATCAATTTTATTATTTACTCAGCACTTCACTGATTCCTTAACTGTGTACTGTTAGCGAGCTTTTGGTTTGATTACCATGTAATATGCTCACAGCGAGAAAATTCATGCGTATTCGACTCAAGTTCTTCCAACAGTGCTCAGATTCCCTCCAAAGCCTTCCATCATTTTCAGTATTCCAGTCACAATTGTTGTTTTACCTTTTATATCACCAGAGCTCATTCTGTATTTGAATAAACATTGTCTGTTGGTACTGCGTCATGGTATATATATATATGGTCAGAAAACTAACAAAGCCTACTATCTGCTGATTGACTATCTCATCCTGGTTTGTGATTTATCACGACTTCACACCTCTGACCATGTGTAGGGACGAAGCAAAAGCTAACAGGTTTCTTGGTGCTTGCATTATGACTCAGGAGTTAGGAGTCTAATACGCAAGATTTTCTAATCTGATTGAATACGCATAGTATGATAAAAAGACAGAGGTTATCTGAGAAGTGTGATGTATTTGCGCAATGCATTTCGAACAATCTGATCAAACATTTACTTGTCAAGGCCTTTTAATATGAAGGATGAAAATAGGATGGGGGGAATAAATAGATAAATTAAGATAATACAAGATTTGGAAAGTATGGGGATAATAAGGAGGCATTAAAATGAGACAAAGATTACCAAGGTAGGTTGAAAGTCGGGATAAACTGTTTCTGAATACACAAAGTGGGGTTGAACTTTCGTATAGCTAAGGCTTCAATGAACCTAAGTATACAGTCTTGATGACTCCTGTACAATGGTTTAAAAGTTGTTTTGGCGTCAATCTTGTGACCTGTTTTTATAATTTGTTTACCTATCCTTCATCCTTTATATAAAATGCCCTAACAAGTAAATGTGTGATCAGATTGTTCGAAATGTCTTGCGCGAATACTTCATATTTCTCAGATAACCTACGTCTTCTTATTACACTATGCAAATTCATCAGAGGGATTAATTGTTTGTGATTGAATTATTGATACATTTCTTACTTTGTTATAGATTTGGTTTTCTTCATCATTTTCAACTCGAAACTCATGACTTCAATGTGATTATCATTTGACTGTCTCGGATAGCCGTAGTTTGGCTGACTAGTATTGATACTGGGTGATGATTGAAGGTGAGATAAAAATCTGAACCGTGGCCGGATTCGAACCAGCAACCACCGGGTTACCAGCCTGGTGCTCTACATACTGAACTACGAGATCCGAATGCTGAACACAATTTTATTTCACTTCAATCACCTAAGGTTATTTCGCCCGACTACCATGTGAATTCGTGATGTATTACTACCCCTTGATCGTATTCACACTGGCTGCCTAGTCAAAACTTCTCATCCCAATCCAAATGTAACTGAATTAGAGAGGGTTAGCATAATATTGATTATCATTTGACTAACTGACATAACCGTAGTATAATTGCTTTTTATATGATACCATCGTTACTTGGACTGAATTGATCGGTCTCTATCGGCATATGGGCTCCTGTGAGGATGCCTCGATATTGCCTGGGTTCTAGCCACGATCGATCATTGAGATAACCGTAGTTTAGCTGACTAGTATTGATACTGGGTGATGATTAAAGGTGAGATGAAAATTCGGACCGCGGATGATTCTTTCGATCACTTTCAGTTTTTATGCAATTGCTTAAGAATCCCTAAATGTAAATTTTTTTTGTCTACAAAACTAATTGATCCTTCCAGTCGGCATAGTTATGTGTAAGTCATTTTTGCGGTGAATATTTTTTAAATGATAAGTTTGTCAAGAATTTTATTTTTATTTTCAAAATCTTTATCTATTTTAGTGTTTACGTAAATGGGGTTTTCGTCGTTGTGAAGATATTTGTTGGATTAAAACAAATATAAATAGTCCAGGTCATGAAACTCTTGAACCGAATGCTGTTTTTCAACGTACAAAAGAACATTGTTTAATGGGTATTCATGGAACTGTTCGACGATCAACAGATGGTGATTTTATTCATGCTAATATCGATATTGATTTGATAATTGAAGAAGCTCCATCACAAGGTAGTTATGCTGCTAAAGATAAACCAACTGAAATATTTCATATTATTGAACACTTTTGTCTTGGTCGAAGAAGATTACATTTATTCGGTCGAGATAGTACTTTAAGACCTGTAAGTAAAACTATCAACTTAGAGTTGCAATTTTTCGATTTTATGATGTATCTTTTCTACTTTTCATAAGTGATTTTCGATTCATTGAAATATGTTACAAAACTTAACATGATCTCAATCAGTTTTGAGAAAACTGAGTAGTGCGTAACATAGTTTATAACTTTTGGAGTGAAAATATTGACATGAATAAAAATATTTATCATTCCGAAACTACTTATTTTAAGAAGTAGTTTCTAAGGTTTCAATAGAAAATGAGTACACTGTATGCTGCAAGATGCAAGATTATGTTGCTGAAGAACGATATTCTGGTATTACCAAAGACTGAGTGAATTATGACGCAATTTTTTAGTGATTACATGCTAACATAAAGGACTGAGTGTACTTTCCTTAATTGCATCCTGTCAAAAGAACTCAATTGTGTTACATAACATCTCACTTCTTGGCTCTTACTAAATCTTGAACTAATGTCATTTCTTGATGGAATTTATCTTCAATGTTACTGCTATTAAATGTACTACACCATGTCAGTTAACGGGATTCAGTATGGTAGTTAATGAAGGCCTTTGACAGCGTCGACCGAGAGGTAATTTGGAAACTGCTTCATTACTACGGAGTACTGCAAACCTTTATCCGCCTCATTCAACAACTATATGAAGACGCCATATGCCAAGTAATTCACAGTGGGAAGCTCAGTGGTGCTTTTGAAGTGAAGACAGGAGTGAAACAAGGTTGCCTACTATCCCCCATGATATTCCTGATTGTGGTGGGCTGGATCATGCAGCAAACAGTGGGGAGTGAGAAGAGGGGGATACGCTGGACGACGGAAAAGAACCTAGAAGACTTGGATTTCGCCATTGATGACTTGTGCCTAATGTCACATAAACTTGAAGATCTGCAGGCAAAAACTAACAAGTTGATAGAAGAGGCAGCGAAGACGGGACTTCAAGTGAATATAGAGAAGACAGAGGTGATGAAGATACCGCACCACTACCATCAACAACAACAAACTCCAGTCACCATCAGTGGGCGAAACTTAAAGGAAGTAACCTCCTTCACCTATCTAGGAAGCACTGTTTCAACTACAGGTGCGGGACAGACGAGGATGTCAAAGTCAGAATCGGAAAAGCAAGACAGGCGTTCATTAGCCTGAAACCAGTGTGGAGATCTTCTGCACTCAGCATGTGGAACAAGATCCGGATTTTCAACACCAACGTCAAGTCAGTGCTTCTGTATGGTTCAGAGACTTGGCGCGTCACGAAACGGATTTCCAATAAACTACAGACATTCATCAACAACTGCTTACGCTGGCTCGATACTGAAGATCAGATGGTCAGGATAACAAGAATAAGCAACAAGGAACTCTGGGAACGAATCAACCAAGAACCTATCGCTGAACAAATATGCACTGGAAGGAAGTGGAGATGGATTGGGCATACAGTGAGAAGGCCGACTGAGGACATCACGCGTCAGGCCAGTTACTCAAGTGGAATCCCCATGGGAAGCGATGAGTTGGGTGTCCGAGGCGAGGGTGACATGGAGGAGATCGTGCGAGGAGGAAATGAGAGCTTCTGGGCTGTCGTGGAACCAGGTCCGAAAGATTTCAGAGAACAGAGTTCACTGGAGACGTGCTAGTGAAGCCCTATGTTCCATTAGGAACCCAAGGGACCAATAATAATATAATAGTTGGTAGTTAGTATTTATCAGGAAACTAATCAATCCGAGGATCTGCTGAAATATGCTTCCATCCTAGCTTGCTACATGATATAATTGTTTGATTTAAACTATTCTATTGGATTAAATCTATTATTCCATTTGTTCTGAATGATGGCTCATCATTACACTGAATTATATTTTTATGATCGAGTAGTAAATATTCATTAAAGCCAAGTACTGACCGCTTCTGAACACCACCTTAAGTCATTCTAGCTGAACAGATTCCGAGAGAGTGAATAGGCAATTGCAGAATTATACGTTTAACGAAATAAAACACTTATTCTTTTAGGTTAGCATTCATCATGAACTGTCGCAATAGTAAAGCGCTGGCCGTGGGACCTGAAGGTCCTGTGTTTGATTCCTAGCGGGGTCTGAGTGCGCACTGCTGAGGAGGTCTATACTAAAACGAAAGAATTGTCCAATGCTCCTAGGTTTCCAATGTTTATCCACTTAATGTTAGTCCATGATGAATATCAACCTAAAATCAGTAAATCCCCACAAACCGCAAAATTGAACTTATTCTTTTAGTTGTAACTGTTAGCAAGATCCAGATCACATCTTTTGTTGTAATCAGGTGCATTTATCTCGGCTTGTCTGTGTCTGTCTGCGACTCAACAACAGTTTCGAAAATTATATATCATATATCTCACCTTCAATCATCACCCAGTATCAATACTAGTCAGCTAAACTACGGTTATCTCAATGATCGATCGTGGCTAGAACCCAGGCAATATCGAGGCATCCTCACAGGAGCCCATATGCCGATAGAGACCGATCAATTCAGTCCAAGTAACGATGGTATCATATAAAAAGCAATTATACTACGGTTATGTCAGTTAGTCAAAATGATAATCAATATTATGCTAACCCTCTCTAATTCAGTTACATTTGGATTGGGATGAGAAGTTTTGACTAGGCAGCCAGTGTGAATACGATCAAGGGGTAGTAATACATCACGAATTCACATGGTAGTCGGGCGAAATAACCTTAGGTGATTGAAGTGAAATAAAATTGTGTTCAGCATTCGGATCTCGTAGTTCAGTATGTAGAGCACCAGGCTGGTAACCCGGTGGTTGCTGGTTCGAATCCGGCCACGGTTCAGATTTTTATCTCACCTTCAATCATCACTCAGTATCAATACTAGTCTGACAAACTACGGCTATCTCAAATAGTTAAAATGATTTCTAGAAATCACTCCATGTTTTAAGGATGAAGACGACTAAAGGTCATTAGTCGACTAATAACATCAAGCCTTTAAATGTCAAGCTTAATTTCTGGTTGTTGTCTCATGTTTAGTCTGTACAAAATGTTGCCTTTGATAATGTTTTTAAGTTTTGAAGTTGGGAATTAGCATTAGTTCATTTGACTAGACTGATTTCATTTCAAAATATGGGAATTGATAATGCTCTATGAATGCTTTAATGTTAAATCCATTTTATCAATAAAGTTTTTGTTATTTATTCGACTATTAGGGATGGGTGACGGTTGGTAATGAATTGTCTGCATCAAATTATGATCCACGTATTTATGCCAATAATTTTAATAAAGAACCGAATGGATTATTACTTGGATCAACTGAAGAAATTGAACGATTACGTCCAAAATCTCCTCCTTTACGTCATCCTAATCCGAATACTGCTACTAGTAGTACTCCTGGTGCTATTTGTCCAGTTACAGATATCACACCTACTCCTATCTGTCCTAATCCTGTTTTACCTGCTGGACATGTTCCTCATTCAGTATCGCCTACATGTTCACTTGGTAGTTCGATTGTATCAAATATTTCTTCTCTCTCTGGAATTCCGGGTAAATGTGTCGAAAAAAACAAAATCGTATTATTTTCTTTCATGTTGCCTGTACCTACTAGTGTAAAACATTTTTAGTTATCTGTTGCAGGTAACCTGGTTATCTCAATTAACCAGATTCTAATATCACTTGACGTTGTTTTGAATATCGGATTGCTTATCAGATTTTCAAATAGTAGATTTAGCTAGGTGTGTTATTCATCAGTTTATAGATGAATGAATCGCAATACATACCTATAAAAAAATCTACCTCAGTTGAAAGTGTTTTCTTCCTCCTGAAGAGTTATTTGTTGCTTTATGTTTATAAGAAGTTACTTTAAATATTCCTTCTTTAGTGGTGCATATTTTATGCTTCTTCACTTTACTAACGAAGTGTTGTCTTGGTATACAAGTGTAAAACCATCTTATGTCTTACAGAGACCAAATAGAGTGGGGAATATAACAAGGAATTGATGGAGAACTAAGCACCTCTATTTTTTACGACTGTTTTTATCATTATTTCTTCAAGTAGTGCTTACGATAGTTGAAATAGTACAATCAACTAGTATCTTTTGAAGTCACTTTTAGGCCAGACCAAGATGTGACATCAATCCCTGAAATCCCTAGCTCTTGGTATGAGGTGTGGGGGGGAGATGTTGACTACCTGATTGGTGTCTCCGAGACGATAGGAATCAGTGGTTGAGAACTCTTGGTAACTTGGCTCAAAATCGGTGATAATGGTGCTTATGTAATCACTCTTCGACATCTAAAGCTGGAGTATTTCCATTAACCTTTATCTTCAAAGTGTTTATTCTCTTACACACCTTTGTTTACTTTAATATCAGTCTTTTTTTGTCCACCTGTTCTTTATATACTACTGTGAAGTATGATAAGTTCAACCGATGCTCTTGTGTATGAGGTTCATTGTTGATTTTATCTGAAGTCACTTTTTAAATTTATTATTTCGAAGGCCTTACGCGAATGGTGATATGAACCTAGAATTGGGATAACTAGACTTCTTCATCATTGTTAAACTATGGTACGTTCTCAAAAGATATATCGATCCGGAGTGTTTAGTGAACTGTACATTTATTAGGAAAGGCATTTTGGAATTTTGTCACCTAAAGCTAAGCTAAAAAGTATTGTTTTTGTGTGCTTAGTATTCAGATAAACATTGTTGTTCCTTGAATAACAATCGGTTGTCCTGTTATACTTATTAAGAAATTCATTGTCTTTATGCGTTCACATTTATAAGATGAGAACAATAGAGGTAAAACTTAATTCATTCAGTTTTGGGGTTTGTGGAGATTTAGCAATTTTTCAAATTGGTATTCATCATAGACTGACATCACTTAGAGAGGAACATTGGAAACCTGGAACGACTAAAAGGCTGTTTCGTCTTAGTATGGGACTACTCAACAGTGCGCACCCATGACCCCGCCAGGGATCGAACCCAGGACCTTCAGGTTCCGTGACCAGCATGTTATCATTGAGCCACTGGAACACTGATGTCAGTCCAAGATGAATACCAACTTCAAAAAAATGTATTAATTGACAGCCATAATTCTTTGAATAAGAGAAAAAGTTTATGTCATTCGCGTTTTGAAAAGAAAAGATTGTTTGCTTACAACTGCTTCAGGAAGTGGCAAATAACGATATTTTTCTATAATTCTTAGTTTTTTACCCGTTTATCACTAACAAAAGTTGCATGACAATAAATCCCAGTGTTATTGGTTAACCCCCTAAAAAGCCATCTTATTTTGATTTTGACGGCGGTGACTAAATATACATTCCTTCACTAAAGGATGATACGTCACTTGTTTTGTGTACACATAACAGTAGTAATTTGGTAACTTTATTCAGTGGCTATTTCATCATTTATTGAACTAATTAAACCGATCGTTGGACTGTTGTCGACCAGTACCATTTTTGATGTCAGTGCAATATCTGATATCCAATATCCTAGTGTGATCTACTGCAGTTTACTCTGTTCTCTTATATGGCTGTGAAAAACCGTCATTAAAGGAAAAAAACATTTATAGATTTCAGTTTTCGACCACCGTTCCTTCATAGAAGTCAGGTATCCAAGTTTAAATAAAAGAGGAAGACCAGTCGATAAAGTTGTGAACCCTTATTGACTAATATGGCTGGGGCATGTGTTGCGCATACCTAGTCATCGTCTGCTCCGTCGTGCAATGTTAGGTGAAAGAGTTCTAGTCTCGAAGGTGATAAGTGACCAGAATGAAACATAGAATCAGTTCAGCAATATAGGAGTTAAACTTGGGCACTGTGGTATATTGTAATTCCATTTTTGTCTGTTTATTAGAAATGTCACACAGTGAAACACTATCATTTACTGGATAACGTTTTGAACATAATTTATTGTCCATATTTATTCACTGTATGATATTTCTAATAAACAGACTAAAATTGAATCAAATAGGATGAAACAAGCGTCCTGGATTCCTCTGCTGGCCACCAAGATCAATATAAGATTGAATCAGTTCATCATGTCTGGTCGCTGGTCTTAGCCATGTACGAAGACGTAGACTTCCCAGTTTGGGTCTATATGACAACCAAAAGCAGTGGCTGTCACACATCATTATTATCGTAATCATGATACCGAATTTCGTAATTGTTGTATCCGTCCTTTTTCTCTTTTTATAACATTTCGTTACTTTCTTCTTTATTTCTGTCTTTCATCATGGTGTCTACCGCCTTGATGCACTGATATGAGTTGTGGCAACTTAAATTGTTACACTGTATTACTGTAGGAAACGAGAAGATTGAGACGCAAGAAGGAATGTTTACTACTGACATCTTGTACAGTAATCATTAAATATTGTACACTTTCCACTAAGACAGTCATTTGCACAATGTAATTCATTTCCTCTTCTGCTTCTATCTTGATTTTCTCTTAATGCGACTACATTGTCTCTTGCATTTCTCTGAGCAGAATATTTATCCATCGCTGGTTATTGTCTATGATTTCTGCCGCCCTCTCAACATATACTACTTATATCCATTCTGATCAGCAGATTACACTACAATACCATATCCCACGTTGTTGATAGCTGACTTAACTGCCCAAAAATACCATTCAACATTGCCTTAGTTTCCATGATACCATGTAGAGTATGTGATATACTTCCTGAGTCTTCGGTTTGTTAACTGGCTCTAAACTAAAAATTTTGTATTGATGAGGTGTATTACAATCGTTTGTATTATACATGTAAATTACCTTGCGAAAATAATTAGATACTATCGTTCACCTACTATTTAATCAAGCCATCCGTGTCTCTTCAGGTGTTGTTATACACTTTCGTCATCCAATAATAATTCGTTTTACTTTCTACTGCCTAATCCTAACTGCTCTTTTCAAACTTTCTTTTATGCTCTCTTGACAAATATATATGCCTGTACTACCCACAAAATAGATTGGGTACGCTGTCAGTAAATCTTGTACTAAGGTTATTATCATATCACGTGTGATATGATTCAAGTTATCTTCCCAGGACAATTTTTTTCGGAAATCACTGAAAAACTTTCAGATATAACGTACTTTAACATTTTTGATGTTTGTGATTGTTACTCATGAGAAATGGATGTTTATGTGCGTTGTTTCTTACTTTCTTCTAATTGGCTGTCTGTTGTTGTCTGGTCATTTGCTGTTATCTGATTGGTCAAAGATATGTGTTGGCATTTAGTCATGCTGAACTTGCTATTCTGACTGTTTACACACACTGTTTACTGCGAAAGTACCTTGAATGTAAGTGTACAGATTATTTATGCGTTAATTATTACTAAATATAGAACCAATAATTATGGTTAGGAGAAAACCAGACAGTCTTTTTTGACCTTACATGAGTCTAGGGTGTGTGCGTATTCGGGTGAATTTAACTCACATGCGTACTTGTTTAGCCCCACGTGTTTGAATATAGAACTTGAGCTGTGAAGATCTGCATGTCTAGATTTCAATTTTTGATTGTTTCATTTATTGCAATGTAGTGATGCATTTCCGTTTTTCCCGCTATTTCTCCCTTGTAATACATAAATTTTATAGTAGGTTTATTCTTACTTGTATAACAATTTTTCGAAATTGTTTATAGGTCATTCCACACGAAGATTTGGTCTTACCAATACTAATATTAAACCACTCAATTCTATTGGTCCACTACCTAATTCTTCTCTTCTGGGTTTACCATCGACCTTGCAGAATGCATCCAATCGAAATGTTTCTAGTAGGTGACTTATTGTTATTCTTCTTTACTCTTCTGTTTATTGTTTTTTTGTTGTCACGATATGAGGTTGAAACCATTGTTATTTCACATTAGTAAAAGTTGACTATTTTTCATAAATTCAGCCGTCTCATCAATTGAGTCTGTCATGGAAAACTATGGTTTTCATCCTATGCGATAAATTACCTGTTACTGTCTTGTCAAAATTGATGTTTTGGCAGTCAACCAATTTAGTTACACATCATGTATGCATACAAAGTGTACCAACTTGCATTTGGTTACTGAGTTATTGATAAAAAAAATCATCTGTACTAGCTATTTCAATTATAGCTAAAAGATTTACCCTGATGTCATTTTAGAAGAAATTTAAAATTCTGAATGCCTTTCACCTCTTGCCTATTTTAGTTATGTATTCAACTTCACTAAACTGTATTTCACGTTCACTAGATATGCTAATGTATGTAATGGTAGGGTTCTCGACGCGACTAATCACTATTTAAATAAATAACTTTTGAAAAGTGAATTCTCATTAAACCTTGTAGGGCTTTAATCTCCAATGTAAACTTTTATCATTGTTGAAATATTCACTAAACATCCTTACAGTGAGAATTTTAATTCACCAATATATTTGACTGAAAACTGTAGAAACCCATTAAGTCTCTTCACTGTCTTAGGATTTTCAATATTCATTGGACAATTCATATCACAATGATGCATCAGTTTATTGAACACGTAAATCGTTTTCTTACAAAGCAATGAAAGAAGAGATACAAGTACCCTAAACTATTTTAGAAAGCTCTTCATCATAAACACATTTGTCTTATACAGTATCCCCTAAAATTTCTGAAATTGAACTATATTCATGAACTGAAATCTCAATATTTTGAAACTAAACTCAACATTTCATTAAAAGAATACTGTGTATATACTAATTATCAAATGACAAACGTGAAAAAATTCAAACAGTACACAGATACAATATTGAAATGACGCTCAAAAGATATAAAATTAAAAGTTTTGACAAGTTTCAAAGCCAATGATTCACATTCAAATCTTCCCAAAGCATCTGAGGAGTTAGTATTAAGCTACTTTTTTTTGTTTCTTCATCCACTATTCAAGTGGAAGCATTATCATTAGACCCGAAATGTTTCTATATCTCATCATTTCTTAACGGCTTCCATACCTAATTCACTTTGAAAGTTTAATCAATCAAACAGAAAATCTTCTAGTTTCCGAGAAGAATCTCGAATAATTGAAGTCAGTTAATTTAAACTCTTACTAGCAGTACAGTAGTACAGAAGTGAACACCGGAAGATTATTAACAAAAGAGCACAAATTTCAACTAAAAGACGTCAAAAATAAAAGTTTTTTGTTTCTTCGTTCCGATAAGTGTGAGTATTGTCACTATTGAATCAGCACGATTACGTTGTCTTTCACGTTATCAAATAAAAACAAACTCTTAAAAGAAACATCTCAGAGAGACACAACTGAGCAGAAGTTAGTAAGTATCCTTAGAGATGAAAAGTCAGTCGGTCATTATCAGTGTTCTGTTCGAACACTTGAAACCATCTGTATCTGTGACCCTACGACCTTATTTCCCCTCGAAGCTATACAAGAGAGAAGTTCTCTGTCTAATATTTAGAGATGAATAATTTGCCATACTATACAATTGCTAAGTTGATTCTTCCGATTTAATCGCCTACTGAACTAAATGTATCTGAAAAAAACAGATGCCCTTTTTGGATATGACTCTACTCTTCGCAAATTTTCCACTGAAGGAAACCATTTTGTTTCCTGTTAGCTACATGAAAATCAATAACCCCATCAGTTGATGCTCTAGTTCACTATCTGAAATAATTGCTTTTAACGTACAATTTAGGTTAAATAAGGAATTCTATCAGTGAAATGGTACCTATCATGCAACAAATATGCAGGAGGAAGTGGAGATGGATTGGCCATGCACTGAGAAGGCCGACTGGGGACATCACGCGTCAGGCCCTCTATGGAATCCCCATGGGAAGCGACGAGTTGGACGTCCGAGGGTGACATGGAGGAGGTCGTGCGAGGAGGAAATGAGAGCTTGTGGGCTGTCGTGGAACCAGGTTCAAAAGATCTCAGAGAACAGAGTGTACTGGAGACGTGCTACTGAAGCCCTATGTTCCACTAGGAACCCAAGGGACTAATAATAAAAATAATAATAATCAGTGAAATGATGTGCCTACCACTGGGTCTTCTAACAGATTGTTTTATGGTTAACCTGAAGAACACCATACTACGTTCACTTATCGGTCGATCGCAGTTGTATAGAAAATACGCGGATAACACTTTCATCGTCTGCGTTTAGAAAGTTGATTCTGATGCCTTACTGCTAAGATTCAGTAATTATTGTCCCTCGATCAAGTTCATAATGGAAATTTAGAACAATTCAGGATTTCATTTTCTTCATATTTCATTGAGAACTATATTCAATTGCTCTACAGGAAACTATCTTGAATAAATTGTATTCTAATTAAAAATAATTTGACACCATTGAACTGGAATATGAATCTAATTTGTTCATTTTGCACAAGAATTAGAAGGATTTGCACGGACAACAAAAATCTTCGTTAAGCACTTCTTGAAAACGTCTAAGTCCCCCTCCTCGCAAGAATTATTGCAAAGGGTATGAGGCTCAAAACGCAAAAGAAACTAACTATTACCGTTCCTTAGAGAGTTTTTTTTATAAATGTTGAATTCAAAATGAACAACGGTGTACGATTGTTCGAAAATTGCATCTCTAGAGTGATCAGAAAAACATTCTTTGCTGTTTTTTTGTTTGCCTTAGCGTGTACTGTGTTCGTTTCTGGTTGTGGCGTTTAAGGATTCCATGACTGCTACAATATGATGAAAAACAGTAGCAGTCGTTCAGATTTTTATATTTTCTCAATGATAGGAAGCGGCCTAAGTGATCAACCCCTAATACAGAAGTTTCGGATTTCAACTTTGTTTTATGTTACCATGTGGACATGGAAAACTATATTGGGCAACTTTATTCTTCAGTTGACTAGTGAAAATAATTATCCGACTTCCGACCTAGTGGCTTCATTTTTTGAAAAACTATAAATTATGTGTTTTCTGGTCAAATAAAGTTATATTTTCGAAATGAATAGAGATTTTAATTTTGAAGTAGTATTCATCACGAACTGACGTCAGTTGGGGAACCATTGAAAACCTGGGAACACTGGATAGCTGTTTCGTCATAGTATGGGATTCTTCAGCAGTGCGCACCCACGACCTGGCTAAGGATCGAACTACTCAGGACCCTCATGTTTCACGGAGAACGCGTTAACTAGCCAGCCAGTGGGTCAGAGATCAATGGTTCACAGTTCCCAACTTCTGTCAATTCACAATTATAAGGCGACTATCACCCAAGGTCTTCAGTTGGTATCCTCTTTCGTTCTAATAAGAAGCTGTGACCTACGGGGTCAGCTAGTCGGAAGTGAGGTGGACACCAACTGAAGACTTTGGGTGATAGTCGCCCTATATCGTAAATTGACAGAAGTTGGAAACTGTGGACCATTAAACCCCGAACCAGTGGCTGAATGCTTAACGCGTTCGTCGTGGAACCTGAAGATCCTGAGTTCGGTCCTTAGCCGGTTAGTGGTTGCGTACCGCTGAGGAGTCCCGTTCTGGGAGGAAACAGCTGTCCAGTATTTCCAGGCTTTCAATGGTTCCCGTCTAATGTTAGTCTGTGATGAATACTATCTCAAAATGAGGTTGTCTTTTGATTTTCACGTCTCAGTGAAGTATCAGGTCTAAGGGAGAACAGTCGCTATTTGCATCCATTTCAAGTATCTCATCTTAAGGAAAAGTGTTTGGTAAATTTTGTTTGGCAATCGTATATCATTTACTTGATCAATTATATTGAAGTTAATATAACTTAACTGATCCATTGCTTTTAGTTTGTTGAATATTTCAAGTTGGCTAGAATTAATCTGATGTCCTTGAAAATTGTGAATTAAATTGATGAATATCAATTTTATACTCTACTTTTCTAACTGTCTATGTTTGATTATAATCCAGATTTTCTTTTAATTTGTTTTTTTTCCGATAAAAATTTCTGTTTTGCTGAAGAGACGTTGCTAAAATTTAAGGGCTAGTAACCTCCGTCAACGTTATCACGCTCTTTTACTCTTAACAGTCAGTTTTCAGGTTAGGTCATCCATTTACTCTCTGACATATGATCTGTATTTCGCAGCTGTGGAAATGCTTAAACTTTAAGCTACCGGAAATTTTCCACTGGATATATTTCATCAAATTCTTCCGTTTCAATTTGTTTTAATGCTTTAAATATGCCTTTTAAATGCCTCAAGTAATTTTGCACACTTTTAAATTAATTTCAAACTGCTGCTTTTCAAGCTAACAACTAAACAAAGAATAAATAATACTCCGACTACTGATGGATTTATAAATCCACAAAAATACTGTACATTACTATTCTTTAGATAACTATGTCGACTTGTAGATTTCAGTACTGACTCAATAAACTACCACCACCAAAATTACTCTCGATATTCTATTCATTCACCAGTACCAACCAGATGCCTGTTTCATACTGTGGCTTTTCTGTTATTATTAACACCATTCATATGCAGTGATTATTTCGTTTAAAGATATTGTACAGGGAATGAATTTGTTGAACTATTACATGCTGAGAATTCAATACTGTACCACAATTCTTGTTTGGCATAAAGCTGTTATCATCATGCTATTTCAAACACTTAGATTTCTTTATATGCTTTGCTTTCTTGAACTGAAATGCAATCAGCCAACGGTAATTCAATTGACATGACTTTTGGCCAAATCTGTGTTTGTGTACATTATGATCGGAGTTTGTTAGCGTTTCACAAAGTAGACGTGTGTATTTGTATATTGTATAACCAGAAGTATTTTCCAATGCATCGCTAATATGGAATACCTATCAGTCACTGTCAAGATTGGCACCTGGAATTACTATATAACGGTCCAAGTTACCATTGGTTTCATAAACACATCAAGTTAGGAGGCACCATGATGTACAGTAAGGAAATAGGGAAGTAACCAAGTGTTAGAAAGTCATGAGAGGAGGTGAAGCAAGTAACAACTTATGATATAACGATTATGGTGAAGATACAAAACAATATCATTTATTCAGAAAAAACTAGAGTCAGCTTTAAAAATATCATTGAAGACCGTAGCTGACTCTCAGATAGTGGTTAAAAGAACCCAGTGGATATCAGTCATTTCTGAATGAGTCAGCGGTGAACGCATGCGAATACATCCCTGCTGGCTGCTAGTACAGTGAAGAGCGGAAGAAAGTCAAATGTGGACTGATAAAAGGTCTACGCAATGATCACGAACAGTGGTGGACAGCGAAGATGGAAAAAGCAGCAGCGATAGGTAACAGTAGACAGTTTTCTAGACTTATTAAGGAAACTGGAGCGAAAAAGTCAACGGTTAGTCATATGATAAAGGAGCAAGATGGGTTTGTGGCTCACTCATCGAGGAGATGACTGAAACGATGGGCGGAACACTTCGAGGAACTGGCCTCCAACTACTACTTCGTTGCCCACTATCCAGTCGGAGCCTAATTGAATATCGAGATAAGAACCTTAATATTTGCAGAAGTCGATACACCTTTAGGTAATCTAAAACGAAAAACACTAGCAGAGCCAAATGGACTAGTACCAAAGGTACTTAATGATACTGGTTGGGTTCGTCAAGTTAACTGGAGCGCTAACTAGTCAGATATGATCTCCTTTGGTTTATCTCAATCACTGACTGTCCTAGTCCTAACGAACGATGAGAAATCGTTCTGTGATAATCACAAATGAATCAAGCTGACGAAGATAATGTCTGAAATTCTAAGCTCTATTGTCATGTAACGTCTAGATGGAGCACTGAGACAGAAAGCCTAAAAAAACTAGGCAGTCTTCATACCTAGTCGTGGATATATCGACCAAATATTTTCATTCTGCTATTTCCTCAAACACGGGCACACCGACGCCCGAAACTGTTTGTATATCGTGACCTAAACATGGCGTTCCCCTCCGTTGACTGTCGGGTCTTGTGACAGTGTCTCTGACTGAAAGGGTTACCGAATATGTGTATCACTCCGTTGAAGCCTCCTTACTGGAAAAGCTGTGGGCGTGTTAGGACCTATAGGGACTTGTTAGGGGAACTGTGTACAGCGAGTGATATCTATCCTGGTCGCCCACTCTCTCCATTTCTGTTACACTTTGTCGTCGAATTTCTTATGCATGTCTCCTCCTCTTCATCTGACTTTACAGGGATCTACCTATCACAGGAGAATCCTTGGTAGACCTGGAATACCCAGATGACGTAGTCCTGTTAGGTGAGGATGCTGATATGATACAGAGTCTTCCGTACACCTTGGGTGGCAACTCGAGAATGTTTGTGATGCGTTTCTCGCCACCCAAATGGGACTTGTTGCTGTGGAACTGGTCTTCAGTGGTGCTATGTCTGACAGCATGTATTGAAGTAAGTGGTTGAGTGTGTTGACCACTTCACTTACCTGGGAAGTTAGTCAGATCAGTCCTGGTGGGTGGTCAGTGGTCGATGAGATCTGTGCACGGATGAAAGCGGATCGCCTAGCTTTCACCCATTTTATGGCTACGCCGTGATATCCGATTGTCCATTAAAGGCCGAGTGTACTGTGCTACAGTTCTCTCCCGTCTACTGTATGGCTGTGAGAAGTGGCCATTATAAGTAGAGGAAATGAGAAGGCTTCTGGTTTTTGACCACCGTTGCCCTCGTAGCGTAATCCTTGTGTCGTGGTGCCACCATGTCACTGATGCGGAAGTCAAGTGTAGAGTTTTAGGAAGGAGTGGAGAGAGTGGACAAGGTGGTGAACATTCATCGACTGAGATGAGTGTGACATGTGTTACATATACCTCGTCTCATATTGTTGGTTGAGGTATGTTGTGAGCGGGAAATGGCTCGGGAGCGGGGATACTAAGACGTGGCATCAGTGCATTGTTTTTGTTTGTTCGAGCTATGTATGGAGATGCAAGGTAGTCGCTTGGGTTATCCGCCTGGCAACTGAAACTAGTGATTGTAGACTGTAGGTGATATGGCTGAGAATCAGTGTCAGTGGCACAGATGCATCCACACTTCATCCTAACCGTCACTTTCTTCCTCTCTTTTACTGCTTGAGGCCGGTTTTTTTCTCATTTTCCATCCTACTAATTTATTAGTTGTTATGCTGATATGAGACGTGACAACTTGAACCGTAGTGCGGTAATGCCTTACCCTGTATTGATATCGATCGATTGATTGACTGTGTGGGTGCATTCACACCATTACAATGAATTATAGAGTAGAAACTACGATTAAATAACTTTTGAATACCACACCTACTGTGATATATTATGTTTAAAAAATTGACGTGGCTTTATATGGTTTGGTGAAGATTTTTTTAAATTTTCATGATCATTCCGGAAGACAAATGATGAATAAATAAATCAAGCCATAAAGTGTTAATTTCTCTTGTATATACTTGGATGGGAGCTTAAGTTTTTTTCTTGATGTTTGAAATATCACATTCGATATTTTCGATTCTATATTTGTCGTTTCACTTTGTTTTATTTTTCTAGGTATAAGGGTTAATATACGTCCACCTCTCAATGCACTCTCGGTCTCTAATTCTCCACGTATATTAACTGCGCTACAAGTAGCTGGGGCAGCTCATTCAAGTGCTACTCATCCTTCTAATTCCCCAATGTGGTCAACTCCAAATAATCTTGCCGTAGCATTAGCAGCGGCAGCCGCAGCATCTCATAATTTGCCTATCACTCCAACGCTTAACTCTTCAAATTCAAGAACACCTATTTCTGATTCACCTCTGATTAATGGACTTATGAATGCTGGTAAACTGAATCCAGCTCTTTTTGCAATGTTAAATGCTTCAAATTCAATTGGTCCATCTGGATTATCTCTATTGAACAGTATTTTTCGAAATAATGCTTCTGGGAAACATCCTAACAATTCATGGCATTAAAAACATTTACTAATTATGTGTGTTCACTGTACTATTATGTGCAATCTGTGAACTGTTTTACTTTTGTTCTATATCTTGGTTCATAAGAGTTGAGTACATTTATTAGGGCTTTTTCTCTCCGAAATTCCGTTTTTTCGCTTTTCAATGTGTAATTTTACCAATCTTCTAGTAGTCAGGCAGAATTAATCTCATTAGTCTGACTAAGAAATAATATCAGTAATACAGTATGTATAATTGTAAAACCTTTTGTTTGATGATCATATGACAGCAAGAAATTGAGAATGCGGATCTGTGATAAGTTGGACTGGAAAGTCAGCTTTGGTGTACAGAAACCATGTTTTTGCGTTATCTGGTTGGTATGACACAAGCTAGATCAGGTATGTTGTCGGTTTAATACGGATACGTTTTTGATATTAGTAAACAAAAATTATCAATATAAAAACAGGAATGTACAAATACTGAAGGGGAAGAGCTCATCAGTTTAAAAGTAGGTCTTAAGTAAATTTGACAGACGCAAAAACCAATCACTAATCGTTCGTACTTGTTATATTTTCACAAGTGTCAGACCAAGAAAGAACACAACAGAGCAGCCATGTGGGATAGTCTGTTTGATAGTGTGTGCCAAAATACGTATACATTCCAAGTAACTGTCTAGAGGATCGCGTACCAGCATCGCGACCTAACAAGACAGCCTGCGAAATGGCGTGGATGCTTGATTGTGGACCTTCAGCTTATTGAGGTTAGGTGTCTGTGTTGAACCTCGTCGAACCCTAGACTACTAAGTTTGGGTAATTATTTGCCGCTATAGTACTATATCATCCGCAAACTCAGCCAGTCAGACATCTTGGAATTAATTTATCTCTGAAATATTGCAGGTGTGTTGGATCGTAACCACTTACACAGCTGTAACAATAATAATGAATGGTCAAGGTGGAAATCTTTGGTAGACATCACTGGTTGTTGTTACGTAGAATAACGATTCCCTCTAAATTTATGCATGTCTTCAGGAGTTTAAGTAGAAGACCTCAATCAGTATAATATACTTGCTCGGTATTCCTTATAAGTCGAAACACTACAACAAGTCCTCTCTGTCGATATATCCGAATGGTGCATTCAGATAAAAACTTCGCAACTGTCGCACACTGGTAAGTATGCCTATGTTTCGAAACGTGTTGAACAGTGAAGATCTAAAACCGATGTAAACTTCTTTTTATGAGGACCAGATCCAAGTCACATATTAGCCACCAAAGTCGTACCAAGTGATGCTTCAGAGCAAACAGTACATTCACAGGAGTGATTGCCTCCCTCTTGGTGTGCTAGGTGTAGGTGGCCGTGTCATCCAAATATTTAATAGTGGAGTCGAAGAGATCATTGTTTACCTGGTTTCAGTGTTCAAAAGCAGTGGAACATCAGTTTTTTCCTGTTGTTAACCTGTGTGCAAAACAAAAATAGTCATCACTTAAAAGATTCAGACTAAGTGGCTTTGGACCTAAATCACTTTCTCTTAGAAAAGTTTCAGGATACCATAGGTCTTGTAGACTAAGTGAGAGATATGTCAGGCTCTACTACACAGGATATTAGAATTTTTTGTGTCTTAGATGTTTACATAGCAATACGGTATGTCTTTTAACTTTTTCTCCCAATCCCTCCACATGGTTGTCGTCATCAAAAAGATTTCAGAGCAGAGGTTGGTCCACTTTTTACTGACCTTCATGGTTCTCTCTAGCTATTCATCTGGACTTCAATCAGGAGTCATTCGACTATTGACTCTAGTATCCAACATATGGTATTATTCAAAGCGATTATGGTATGCTGTCCTGTTTATGAATTGAAATGATGAGTTCTAGATCAGGGTGATGCCTTGACTTTTAAATTTTCGCTGCAGTTAATGTGGCTATTATTCTACTCATTAATTTTCAACCTGAAGTCTTATTAACTTCTACCAGTAAACCCTCCAGCACTTTTACTTCTTTTTGTTTCAGGTTGGTTGAAAGTCTTCTAAACTTCAGTGAGGCTTCAGGAACTGACATCTGTAAACTTTCCAGGTTCTCACTGAGCAACTTAAGCGCGTCCGTATAGTAGTTAAACGTCGTAGCCACCTGTCCGATGAGATGATCAGCTACTCACTGTTCTCGAGACATTTTCACTGACTATTACCTTCCTGTTGGTTTAATTAACTATCCCTACCAACTGCTATTCAATACCAGAAAGAGATCATGGGAACAGGTCAAATCTGTGGACTCGCACTAGAGGAATATCACGAATTCACTATGCTGTTCAAGTGGCTCTAGTTAAATAGCCAAAATCAGATACCATGACTTCATATCCTAGAGTTGCAGCACGTGAGACCTGTTGTCTGATTCGGAATAGGGTTTGGATGCTGAAATCCGAAGTCCACAGCTTGATTTTGAGGGACTAGTTATGAAGCTTTTCTATTTTGTTCCGCTGGCAGCGTAAGAAGGTAAGGAAGCAGTAATCGACAATATGCTGGTAATATGAATTGGTGGTGAAAGCACGCGGACAGCTAAATGTAGAGAATATAAATGGAATTTGCATAATCCCGACGGCTTGTGGGTCTTTATTACTGCCTGGTTGTTCAAAACATGAAAGTTGCAGTATAAGTAGTGTACGTAAGAAAGAAAGTGGATTCGAATAACTCGGCAGTACAGCCTAAAAAACAACCACCAGTGGCTGCTGAAGTATGAAGACCTTCGGAAGAAATGACTGATTTGGAGATATCAATCCTACAAAGACCTACTGCTTAGAAAACAAGTGCAATGGGACAATCGCCAACGAAACACAAACTTTCAGAGTGACAGGAAGTTCTGTACCATAAAAATAATCACAGATGAGTGATATCTAGGGCCACAAAATTTGAGTGACTACAGAATTGTAATTCACTAATTTTTCATATGCATTCCCTATTCTAGTTTGTACAAACTCCAGTATATCAAATAACACTATATCTTTCAGTAAAGTAAGACTTGGCTTTCCGTTCCATGAAATGAAAATATGTTATTCGTAGTTGGTGAATTGAAGTCAGAATGATTAAACGCTGTTCATAAAACTTAGTAACAGAACGCCTGGTGAACAAACATTGCGAAAATTTCCGAATATTCGTATTACATCTATCTGACATACAAATCAGACATCAAAATCGATACATAAAATTCATTTCTTCTCAACTACAGTGAATTGGTTGATGCAAACTTATAGAGATTTTCTCATAATCAGATGAACAAACCAAAATTGGGGTGGAAAAACCTAAATACTCCATTGATATCAATTTCTATCAATCCTTTTAATCATTATATCCTCGTGTCGATGTAATAACCAATCAATCGGTCAATATCAAAATAGGACAACCTATTAGTGCACAACGGTCAATGTTGCCACACCTCAGATCAGCACAACAAGTAACAAAGTAGTAAAATACAAAGAAATATCTGTCAAAAGCAGTAAAAAAGAGGAGGGAGCCATGAAAAAGAGAATTCAGTATAGCGATTTACATGAAGATAAAATGTGGGTGCATCTGTGCCACTGGCATCGATTACCCAGCCAATGGTTTCAGTTGCCAGGACAGACACCCAAGCGACTACCTTGCATCTCCATACATAGCTCGAACAAACAAAAACAATGCACTGATGCCACGTCTTAGTATCCCCGCTCCGAGCCATTTCCCGCTCACAACATACCTCAACCAACAATATGAGACGAGGTATATGTAACACATGTCACACTCATCTCAGTCGATGAATGTTCACCACCTTGTCCACTCTCTCCACTCCTTCCTAAAACTCTACACTTGACTTCCGCATCAGTGACATGGTGGCACCACGACACAAGGATTACGCTACGAGGGCAACGGTGGTCAAAAACCAGAAGCCTTCTCATTTCCTCTACTTATAATGGCCACTTCTCACAGCCATACAGTAGACGGGAGAGAACTGTAGCACAGTACACTCGGCCTTTAATGGACAATCGGATATCACGGCGTAGCCATAAAATGGGTGAAAGCTAGGCGATCCGCTTTCATCCGTGCACAGATCTCATCGACCACTGACCACCCACCAGGACTGATCTGACTAACTTCCCAGGTAAGTGAAGTGGTCAACACACTCAACCACTTACTTCAATACATGCTGTCAGACATAGCACCACTGAAGACCAGTTCCACAGCAACAAGTCCCATTTGGGTGGCGAGAAACGCATCACAAACATTCTCGAGTTGCCACCCAAGGTGTACGGAAGACTCTGTATCATATCAGCATCCTCACCTAACAGGACTACGTCATCTGGGTATTCCAGGTCTACCAAGGATTCTCCTGTGATAGGTAGATCCCTGTAAAGTCAGATGAAGAGGAGGAGACATGCATAAGAAATTCGACGACAAAGTGTAACAGAAATGGAGAGAGTGGGCGACCAGGATAGATATCACTCGCTGTACACAGTTCCCCTAACAAGTCCCTATAGGTCCTAACACGCCCACAGCTTTTCCAGTAAGGAGGCTTCAACGGAGTGATACACATATTCGGTAACCCTTTCAGTCAGAGACACTGTCACAAGTTGATTCAGAAACGACTGCTCAGCAACTCTGCCTAATAGCCAAGCATATACTGATTCATTTTGTCACTATAGGAAACGTTTGACAAATCATTAACATCGAGGTGTGTCAGGGTAAATGGAACAATATTTTTACGTTGTGAATGTTAAATTTGAGAATATGCAATTATTGCCCCACGGGAAACAGTTACATGAATGTGTTTATTGGAAGACACCTTCCTGTTTAAGCCTATCTAGTCAGGTATCACAGATACTTAAATGGTGCAGAGTAATAACAGCGAAGCAAAGTTTAGTTTCGGTCTTTAATACTATCTCTCCCATTTTTATTTGAAACATCAGCTTATCACTTTTGATCCCGAGGAAGTATACAACGTAGAACAACAATATTTCTTCAAAATATTTCATGAGAACAGATGTACAATACACCAGAATGAACAAGGAAAGTGCGTCGTTAAACACCCAAAATATGGTTCGCTTCTCTTACTCTACTATTCATAAATATGAGACACACAATGTCGCAGAATAGTCACCGACTTCGATTATGGGTCAATTTTGAGTGACACTAAGCCACATGCACATGGTCAATGCCTGCTACCTAGATGTTGTGATCCAGCTTGCAAATCACGGTGACCCATCGAGATACGCCGGCTGGAACGTTCGCTTCTTTAAGGTCCACGAA